AGGCTAAATCCAACAAAGGCGGCCTGCATACTCTGTAGGGCATTCCGGTGGGGATGTCAAGAAAGTGGATTTGAGTCAGAATCTCTGGGTCGCGGTATGGGCTAGAGCTAATTAGTTAAGGGTCGTATGGAGATGGCAATTCAAATCATGGGAGTTGATGAGCTCATTAAGGGTCAGGAGAGTGGGAAGAACATTTGGTTCAGGATGGGAAGAGCTAACATTTCAGGGTCAGAATGAGAGGACCATTAAAGAAACAAGGAAGAGGTCTTGAAAATGTTTATAGGCCGAATGAAGGGAAGGAGACAGTGGACAGAGAGATGGGAAATCCAGGAGTTATGAGGGACGATTGGTAATGTAGGAGGCCGAAAGGGAGAATTCATTTCAAATATAATCTAATGTATCTACTTAAGTGATAAACACATAATTACTTAAAACTTGGTTTCCAGGCTGTTTAAAGTAAGCCCAGACAAAGTTCATTTCCTACATTTGTCAAAGCTAGTAATTTTTATATAATCTAACACATATTCATTGAATACTTTTTTGGTATCAGACACTCTGTTAGGTTGGCATTGCAAGGGATAAACTATGAGATAAAAAATGGCCCCTCATGGACCTGGTCCTCAAAGAGCTTGCAGCAATGTAAACCATATACCTAAATATTTATGTCACAGGGTAAAAAGTGACCAAAAAAAAAAAAAAAAAAAAAAAGGACTAAAGTGATGGAGGAAGAGAGATTAATTTTAGATTGGGGATTTGAGGAAGCAGTAATATTTGAGCTAAGTCTTAGAAGATGGGTGGAGATGGAAGTATGTATAAGTCAATCATAGAGGAGAGTCAGAGCAAAGCACAGTCATGAGACTCTGGGGCACTGTCAGTCTCATATCGTATCTCTTGACTATGCTCTCTCCATCTCTAGGCTGACCCTCTGATGCTGAGGTCTGTAACTTAACCTTTACAGAGCCTCATATAATGTTTTGCATATAGTGCTCACTCAGTGTTTGTTATATGAATCTAACTTGACAAACAGACATCATTATTGAATTACTTATTCCACAGCCTTTCCTGTGTGGGCCATAGTAGTAAAGAATTTAAAGACTAGAATTATTTTTTTGCATGGAGCTGTCCAGATCTCCCAACACCATTTATTGAAGAGCCTGTTTTTACTCCCTTTTATGCTTCTGCTTTCTTTGTCAAGTACTGATTGACCATAGAGACCTGGGTTTCTTTCTGGGTTTTCTATTCTGTTCCATTGATTTAGGTGTCTGTTCTTATGCCAGTACAAGACTGCTTTGATTACTGTGGCCTTGTAGTATAGTTTGATACTAGGTATTGTGATCCCCCTACTTTGTTCTCCTTTCTCAAGATTGCTGAGGCTATTTGGGGTCATTTTTAAACTATTTGTTCTATATCTGTGAAATATGTCATTGGTATTTTAATAGGGATTTCATTGAATCTATAGATTGCTTTGGGTTGTATGGACATTTAAATGATATTAATTCATTCAATCCATGAACATGGTATATATATGCTTCCATTTATTTGTATCTTCCTTAATTTCTGTCTTCAGTGTTCTGTAGTTTTCTGAGTACAGGTCTTTTACCTCCTTGGTTAAGTTTATTCCTAAGTATTTTATTTTTCTTGTTGGTATAATAAATGAGATTTTCCCCTAGTTTCTGTTTTTGATATTTCATTGTTGTTGTACAAAAATGCCTTTGATTTCTGAATATTGACTTTGTATCCAGCTGTTTTTCCAAATTCTTTTATTAGGTAGAGTAATTTTTTGGTGGAGCCTATAGGGTTTTCTATGTACACTATCATGACATTTGCAAATAATGACTTTTATTTCCTTCTTTCCAATTTGGATGCTTTTTATTTCTTTTTCTTCTCTGATTGTTGTAGCTAGAACTTCCAATACTATATTGAATAAAAGTGATGAAAGTGGACACTCTTAATCTGGTTCCTGATCTTAGGGGAAAGCATTTAGTTTTTACCTGTTGAGTATGATGTTGGCTGTAGGTTTCTTGTATATGGCCTTTATTATGTTGAGGTATGATCCATCTAGTTCCACTTTGCTGAGTGTTTGTCATAAATGGGTGCTGTACTTTATTAAATGCTTTTTCAGCATCTATTGATATGATCATGTGATTTTTGTCTTTTTAGTTATATGATGCATTACATTTATTGATTTGCATATATTATACCATCCTTGCATCCCTTGGATGAATCCCACTTGATCATTTTAATGTATTGCTAGATCCAGATTTCCATGATTTTGTTGACAATTTTAGCATCTATGTTCATCAGCAACATTGGCTTATAGTTTTCTAGACCACCAACTCATACCATACACCAGAATAAACTCAAGATGGATAAAAGACTTAAATATAAGCTGTGACACCATAAAACTCCTAGAGGAAAACATAGGCAGGAAAAGTTCAGATATCCCATGCAGCAATATTTTCAGCAATATATCTTGTAGGGCAAGGGAAAAAAAAAGGAAAGAATAAACAAATGGGACTATATGAAACTAAAAACTTCTGCATGGCTAAAGAAAACATCATCAGAGTGAAAAAGGAATCAACTGTATGGAAAAACATATTTGCAAATGATACCTCAGACAAGGGTTTGAGATCCAAAATATATAAAGAACTCATATGACTCAACACCAGGAAGACAAACAATCCAATTAAAAAATGGACAAAGGACCCGAACAGACACTTTTCCAAGGAGGACATACAGTGGGTCCAGAGGCATATGAAAGGATGCTTGGCATCACTAGCCATCAGAGAGATGCAAATTAAAACTACAATGAGATACCACCTCACACCAGTCAGAGCAGCCATCATTAACAAATCAACTAACAACAAGTGCTGGCGAGGATGCAGAGAAAAGGGAACCCTAGTACACTGTTTGTGGGAATGCAGACTAGTGCAGCCACTGTGGAAAACAGTTTGGAACTTCCTCAAAAAAAAACTAAAAGTGGAACTGCCTTTTTATCCAGAGATTCCACTGCTGGGATTATATCCTAAGAATTCTGAAATACCAATTCAAAAGGACCTATGCACTGTTATATTCATAACAGCGTTATTATAATAACCAAGTGCTGGAAACAGCCAAAGTGACCACCAGTAAATGAGTGGATCAAGAAACTGTGATACTTTTACACAATGGAATACTATGCAGCAGAAAGAAAGAAGGAACTCCTACCTTTCGTGACAGCATGGATGGAACTGGAGAATATTATGCTAAGTGAAGTAAGCCAGGCAGTGAAAGGCAAATACCGTATGATCTCACCAATAAGGAGAACCTAATGAACAAAATGAACAAAGGAGCAAAATAGAAGCAGAGGCATGGAAACAATGAACAGACTGACAGTGACCAGTGGGGCAGGGAGGGGGAGAAAGGGGGAAAGAAGCAGGGAAAGAAGGGGAAGGGTAGTCAAAAAGCATATATAAATGACCCTTGGACATGGACAACAGGGTGGGAATTGACTGAGGGAACGGGGGTGGGGGTCAGGGCAGGGGAGAGCAATGAAGAAAATTGGGACAACTGTAATAGAACAACAATAAAAAAATAATAGCACTGTATTGTGGGGCTTATAAAATATATAGTATTACATTTTTAAATAATGATAAAAAATGTATGAGTAGAAATATACTATTATAAAGTTCTGTTGTTCTAAAAAAAAGACTAGAATTCTTATGTTTACCAGTAAAATGAGTAATACAGATAGATTACCTTTGTAATTTGATTTTTTGAGGATGACAGATTAGAATTTATTTATTTATTTTTTTGTTTGTTTTTTTTCGTATTTGTTTTTTTTTAAAATTTTATTTTAATTTATTTTTTCAAATACATTTGTCTCTGCCAACCCCCCACCACTTTCCCTTGCCCCCTCCCTCCTTCCCTCCCTCAGCTCTTCCCCTTTGGTTTTGTCCATGAGTCTTTGCTATATGTTACTTGACTTTCCCCTTCCCTTCCTTGTCCCCGCCCCCCCTCCACATGTAAGTGATAGCATCATATATGTGACATATAATTTAAGATATAAATAACAAATGTGGAGATTCTAAAGACTTTGATCAACACAATTTTTTTGGGATCTGCTTTAAATGACAACTTTGAAGCCAAGTTTTAGACAACTATTTTGTTAGTGTATAAGTAGTTACATTTGTTTTACATTTTGAAATGAACTATATCCTTCTTTTAGGATTAAAAAAATAACTTGTACAGTAGCTTTAGATTAACCAAGGATGATGTTTTTAAAAGTTAATATTTTATAGCTGCATCTGGATATTTTATTTGATAAACTTAGGGAATCAGAATTAGAATGCCAATTTTATTAGTGGAATTACTTAGTTATTTTGAAGTGGTTCTATGTAATGTGTTACCTATGATGTACAGTGGACAGATAGAAATATGAGGAGTTAGGAAAAAGGCCAGATTTTTTTGTTGATTTGGAAAAGGAAATAATTTACAATATCTCTTAAAATAAGGTAGAATGTGTTGATTTAAGGGTTACACTAGAAAATAATTCTAGGAATTGTGAAGGCAGAGGATGTTGGTCCATGATGATTTTGTATTCTTGATTATTTATAAAAATCAAGATAGTGATTTTCAATACAAATTTGAAGTCCTTTCATGTTAGTTTGATGTGTGTTATCCTTGTCTCATAAATTCCTGAATTATCTAATTTAATCTAACTCTTATTTCACAAATGATGGAAGACAGATGAAGCAGTTTGTATAAATGACCTACAGTGAATTATAGAGTCAGGTCACCTTTTTATGTTAGTGCTTTGGCAAGAAAAACTCATAAAATCTCACAGACTTCATGCGGTAGATGACTAAAAATAAACTACAAATGACAATGACTTTTCTTCATTAAATCAGTGTAAGTGTAATTAAATTTTATTCCTAAATCATTTTGTGAGGTAAGTAAGTGAGCAGAATAATTAATTAAGAACTTATATATTTTCTTGTTTTTTTTCTTCCTCCCAATAGGACCAGACACATTATCAATTATTTCAGGTTTCAGAATATGGTAAGAGTTCTTCAACTTATTTTGAAGGAAAACACATTTATTACTTTCCACAGAGATAGGAGAAATTTCCAAAAGATGTATTATTTAAAGTAAAAATCCCAGTGGATGTAAAATCTTAATGTTTATTATAGGTCTAAACATTTTTTTCCTTTATAAAAGTGAAAGTTATAAAAGGTCATTGTAAAGAATAAATGAGGAAGCCAGTCAGAAAAAGACAAATACCATAGGATTTCACTCATATGTGGAATGTAATGAACAAACTGAACTAATAAGCAAAACAGAGACAGACTCATAGATGGAGAGCAGGGCGGCAGCTCTGGGGATGGGGGCGTTAAGGGGTGAAGGGATCGAACAAAAAGGAAAAAGCGCTCATGGACAACAGTGTGGTGACTGCGGGGACAGGGGGTGTCAGGGGGACGAATGGTAATGGAAAGAATATAATAAAAGTAAATTTTAAAAAAGAATAAAGGAGGAAAAAGATCACTTATACTTCCATTATGTTAATCTATTTTTTATGCACAATTATTCTGTTTTTCTATCTTGTGGTGATCATAACATACATATTTAAAATTTTGTGTGGTGTGTTTTTTAAACATAACATTAACTATCCCGTAGTTTTCATTTCGTAGGCACCGGTGAAGACAGTCTCACTCAAGCAAATTCTCTTCTTGCGGGTGCCGCATTTATAATACCGCAGTTAGGCACACACAGTTAAAAACAGTGTGACCTAATTATTTTGTTGGATGGAGAAGAAGGAAAGATGAGAGTGAGAGTGTAGGATCTGGTATTAGTTTTAATTTGATTACACATGGGGTTACGCTTTTTCATTTGCGTACTTTTCAAAAGCATAATTTGATTACGCTTTTTCATTTGATTTGTGTCACTTTTTGAGATTGTGTTTCATTTAGGTTTAGAAATTCTGGAAAGTAGTTCGCTTACACGTCTGTGGTTCAGCCTCCACATGGCTCTTACCGCATTGTCACATCTAAGTCTCATGATCAACTCGAACAGGGATCAGCAAGGCTTTCTTACAAAGGGCAAGATAGTAATATTTTAGGCTCTGTGGGCCATATGTCTCTGTCATAACTGCTCAACTTTGCCACTGTAACACGAGGCAGCCACGGACCCTATGTAGGATGAATGTGGCTGTGATCCAATAACATTTTGTTTATGGACACAGAAATGTGAATTTCAGCAGTTTTTACATGTCATGAAATATTCTTCTTTTGATTTTTTTCAAACAACTAAAATGCAAAAACCACTCTTAGTTCCTGCTGGTCTTCATTAACTGACCCCTGATCTGGGACCCTGTTGTCCAGTTTGGGATCACTCACCACGTGTGGCTGCTGAGCATTTGAAATGTGGCTTGTCCAAATGGAGATATGCACTAAGTGTGTAAAGTACAAGATTTTGAAGACATAGTACACAAATAAGAAAGAAAAATAGCTCACTAATAATATTTTTATATTGATTATATGTTGCAATGATAATATTTCGAATGTATGTAGGGTTAAGAAAAATACTACAAAAAATTAATTTTGCCTTTTTTTTTAACTTTTTAAATGTGGTCACTAGAAATTTAAAAGTACACCACGTGGCTCACATTTTATTTCTTTTTGACTGCCTTGATCTAGAAGAATAAATGAAAGGTCGCCAAGGTTTTTATAGACTATATTTATTCCACATAGAGATAGATGGTGCTTGGTGGTCGTATGTTGCTGAATGAGGTATAGTGGAGGTGGGGAATTGATTACCAACCTAGGGTGTTTGAGGAGGGGACATTTGAATTTCCTTGTTCTAAGGAAATTCTACCTCTGAGTGTCCCTAATTTCTGTGTTGATGGAGAGACTTCGAGGAAGGTCTCAGTTGACCCATATGGCTTTTTTGCCTCTCCAGTCATAGCCTGGTATGGAGTAAGTCCAAGAGTGTCTTCTTGGCATACCAGGGTCTTTAGCCTGGTTTGCAGCTGGCTGTCTGCCCTATGTTGTTGACTCATTGACCTTCTTGATACTTGTCTTGTGTTAATCGAATGGTGAGGTGCCTTTTTATGAGACTGATCTATTTTTTTGGTCAGTGAAGTCAGAGAAAAAAACATTTCTGTAGACTGACAGGAAATAAAAAAATTTATATTCTGGATGAGTTCTTTATATGAAATAGTATTAATATTGATAAAATATTTTACATCTTAATTACATAAAGCTGACCAAAGTAGGGTTTCTTAATTTTGGAATTACCTATCAGTAACTGCCACACAAGAAAAAAAAATCATTATTTTGTAGCCATATTTTAGTTATTAACTAGGAATTCTACTACACAGCTTTCTCCTTATAGCAATCCATTACATTAGACTGTCACCAGATTTGCTTTTGCCTCAAAGAACAGGAATGATCTATGACTGCCTATGTGGCGCCGTGCCTGGAGAAGGGGCCCCAGGGTGTTCTTTTAGTAACCAAATTGGTGAAAGGTCCTAGGGAAGGGGCTGCTCTAGAAGCAGCTGTTTGCCAAGTGATATGGAAGTGTCTTAGAAAGTAGTAAGGCCACACTAGAGGGTGACAGTTGAATGAAAACCCTGTCCTTTAGCATTCAGATGTGTTTACGCCTCGGGTTCTGGATACAGTTTCGGTTCTACCAATGGGAAATTTCCACTGACCCCAGTGTCCACAGCAACTGGCCCCTGCTATCACTGTCTAGTCACGCGCTTCATAGGGGTTTCTAATTCTGGATGAAAGGAAGTGCGTTTCATCTATGCCTTAATGTGTATTTGGATCATAATGGATCAAATTTCAAATAGTACCAATTATCAACTCCTTTAAAACAATTCTATTTGTTATTTTGTCAAGCTATAAGTAAATTATAGTAAAATAGATTCTTTAAAATACTTACTCTTTTTTTTCCAGTATTACCAAAATTTGAAGTTGCTTTGCAGACACCATTATATTGTTCTTTGAATTCTAAGAGTTTAAATGGTACTGTCACAGCAAAGTAAGTATAACTTTTTATGACTAAAAACTGTTGTAAAACTGTATGACAAAGAACTCATTATATATTACAGAATGTTAGCACAATGTTCTGCTTATTAAGATACACTAATGGGCAGAAAACAAGTATCTATAATAAACAATTAAACATGGAACATGTCTGCATAGGTCTTTACATATATCTCTCTGTGTCCAAGTTGATCCAGTCCTAAAATATTTTCTGCATACCAGTGTTTTTCCAAGATTAATTGAGGGATTTACATTATAGATTATGCCAGAATCTTTAAAAATGTGCCTTTATTCCTCATTCAGTTGGCATGGATTAAGACAATTTACCTCTTCTTAAATCCTAATTGTTTTTCTTTGTTAATGATGAAGGTTGACTTTAGGGAGAGGGATTTGGTTGTCCTATTGCAATTAGCATATGAGTAAATAATTCACATTCATCATCCATTTCAGCATGTGTACACAGAGATGTAGAATGGCTCTCATGATTTTGATCTACTGGCTCGAACAGCGTAGCATTTGGTTTTGCTGAGACACAAAAGCATCCTCAGAGGTCCAGACTAACAGTTCTCAAACTCACTGACACAGACGGCAGTATGGTGGTTACCAGAGGAAAAGTGGTGGTGGAGAGGGGTCAGTAGTGAAGGGTAGAGGGGGGTTGAGTGTATGGTGACCGAAGGGGACTTGACTTGGGGTGGTGGGTGCACAATGCAATGTACAGATGATGTATCATAGAATTGTACACTTGAAACCTATGTAATTTTATTAATCAATGTCACCCCAATAAGTTCAACAAAAAAAGGGGAAAAAGAAAAAAAGAACCTGAAACATCTAGACTTAACATTAAAAAAAAGTATAGGCTCAGATTAGACGTTCTCAAAAGTGCAGGCTGGAGTTGCCCTCAAGTAATTCCAGGACTGATCTCTTGTAGCTTTTATTTTTGGTATATCAATATCTGTGCTTTGGCTTCTGAAATTTCTTTAGTTTCAGAATTTATTTGTAATAGCTCATGAGAACTGGACCTCCTGTCGCCGCTGTCTCAGTCCTATGTTCCTCTCCTGGGGAGGTTTCGTGGCAGTGGCGGCTATGGGCCATGAGTTTCAGGGTGGAAGCAGTCTACAGACCACAACATTCTGGGGACTCCTGCTTTAGATTCTGTCTGGTCAAAAAATCATGTGAAACCCATGCAGCAGAAAGGCAAAAACATGTCTGTGATTTGTGTACCAAGTTACTTTGCAGCCCATGCTCAGCTAAGAGGTAGCTTCCAGAGTGAATTTGGGTACGGTGGATGGATTTATGGTTTAAAAAACATATCAGTATCTGCATTTTACATAATTATTATCTTGCCGTTGATCTTAACTGAAGGTTAAGCCTTCTGCCTGGGTTTTATTTTGAGTTCTTTGATTAATGCTTATAAAACTCAGTGAGTACAAATCCCCACAGACCATCAATGTTTGCATGGGTTGAGTGTGGAAATAAATCGTCTTTGCTTTTGTTGTTGGTTTTCAGGGCTTTGCCAGGGATTTAATACAATTAGTTAAAACAGTGGCTCTTAAATTCTGGTAACTTTCAGAAAATTTTATATACAATTTTAGGGAGTTTGAGTCCCCTAAAGCCACACTACTGACACCCTCCTCCCCTAGCTAAGTAATAACCCTTGTAGTTTCATCCTGACTCTCACTTGTTGAGCTTTGGAAACAGGAATTGTGCTGGCCCTCTGGCATTTCTTTAGTGTTCACCACATTGTATTCTCATCATTTTCCTCAGTATGTGTAGCAGTCAAGGTTCTATCACAGAGGTAAAATAAGCAGGAGATACATAATAAGATTTGATGCAAGGAATTAGCTTATGTGTGGGAGCGGTGCTGGGTAGACACATCCTAAATCTGTAGAGCAGCCCTCAGGAAGGGCAGGCTGGAGTCTCTGGGGTGGGCTGCAGTTGCTGTCCACAGGCAGAATTTCCTCCCCTTTAGGGAAGCCTCAGCTCTGCTCCTAAGGGTTTTCAACTGATTGAATCAGGCCTGCCCAGATTATCTGGGACAATCTCCTTTACTTAAAGACAGTTTTTAAAATTTTATTTTATTTATTTTTTTAAATTATTTTTTTAATGTTCAAGTACAGTTGTCTCCATTTTCCCTCCACCACTCTCCCCTGCCCCACCCACCTCCACCTCCCACCCTCGATCCTTCCCCACTTTGGCTTAGTTCATGGGTCTTTTATACATGTTCCTTGACTTGACCCTTTCCCTTCTCTTCCCCATAAACCCAGCTTTAAATACAGCTATAAAATACCTCCACCTTAACACCTAGGTTAGTGTTTGAGAGACTGTGAACTTTAACCGAGTGAAGTTTACACATCAGAAAGACCTCCGTACATTTGCTTTTTCTGTTGTAGTGAGCCTCTTCTTGCTGTCTACAGTTCTCAGATCTGGCTAGTTCTAACGACAGTCCATTCCAAGTCTCCTTCCCTCAAGCTTCAGTTGTTTAGGGATGATATCTGTGGTTGTGGCAAAAGAAGGTAGTCCTGTCCCAGGGCAGTGCGGTGTTCTGTGGTACCGCCCATGAGGCCTAGACCCCTTTCCCCAGAGGAATGAGCATCTCCTCCACCCCAGCTGTTGTGAGTTCTCGGTCTGTCAGTGCAGTATCCAGGGGTCTGCTTTCATTCAGACTGAGGATATAATTTACAACTTTGTAAAAGATTAATGAAATATTTTGACTGGTAGGGTCTTCTGTAAGTCTTCAAAAACTGGCATAGACCTATTCTATAAACACTGTGTCCCAGAAAAGATGGAAATGATGATGAAGATGATGATCTTGTGTCTGTCATAATGAAAGCAACATCTATCATCCCTTCAGAGGCAAATCTCTCCACAGAGGACGTGGATGCTGCCTCCTGTCAGCAGGCCCCCAATTCCACTTCCTCTCTCACCTGTGGTTTGATTTCTTCCATTGTGTTCTTCCGTGGCATCTTCACTATGTGTTTAAACATATCTATCATTAAAAGAAACAAACCTTCCCTTGAACTTCCTGTCTCCTTCCAGCTATTGTCTTATCTTCACCTATTCACAGCCCATTTAGAGTTGCATTTTTCACTTCTTTACATTCCATTCATTCTTCAGCCCCCTACAACCTGTCTTTTGCCCTGTGCCATCAAAACCCGTTTTACCTCTTCCCCCCTTTGCAGCATTTGGCATTATTGTTCCTCTCCCATTTCTTTTCTGTTTGTTTTTTTGTTCTTTTCCTTTTGGCTACTCCTTTGACACTCTTTGCAGGCAACTCCCTTCTGTTCATCTTATAAAAATTCTTGTTTCTCAGAGTTCCACTTTTGGCTCTCTTTCTTTACACATCTGAATTTTCTTCTTCATGGCCAAGGCTCCTGCTATTCTTTATCAGTTGATGACACCTAAACCGCTCTCTCTAGCCCACATTTACATGCTGAGATTCAGGTCCTCAGTTCTTTTCCCATTGGGTATCCCACAGATACTTTATTAATATATTTACTTTTATAACAGCTTTATTGAGAGTATTATTCCCATGCAATGCAATTTACCCACTTGAAATGTATAATTAAATGGATTTTAGTATATTTGGAGTTATGCAACCATCACCACAGTCAATATTAGAACATTTTCATCACTCCCAGAAGAAACTCAGTACCCATTTGCCGTCACTCCTCTTTCCCCATTCCCTTGACTCCTAGCAACCACTAATCTACTTTCTGCCCCTGTGGTTCTACCTTTTCCCAAGATAGTTTAAATTAAACATGTCATCTTCCCCTAAATCTAATTCTTTTCTGTGTCCCTGTCTTGGTAGACTGCACCACCATCTATTTAGTTGCCCAAGTCAACTGCACTCTTCCCAGTCCTTCAGTCCCCACATCTAATCAACATACAATGCTATTGGTTTCATCTCCTTAATTTCTTTCAAACCTCGCTCCGTCGCCACTTTTTTGATTCAGGCCAACATCATCTTTCTCTCCTCAATTACTGTTGTAGTTTCTTAAAAGTTTTTCCTGACTTGAATTTTATCCTTTCCAGTCTTTTTTCCACACTGCATTCAGAATTCTTGCTGTTGTCCTCTTCTTCCCCTTCACTTCCCTCTCCTTTTCCTCCACTTGTTCCCTTTTTTGGGCAGGGAGACATTAAAGACAAATCAATTTTATGATGCCTTTTCATGAAAATTTTCAGACCATTGCCTTGAGGATGAAGTTCAAATTTTTTAGGGTATCTTAGAGAGTTCTTTTCTGGTTTCATGTCTTTTGGAACATTCTACCTAGTCCCTTCTCTAACTTCCCAAACACTATTCTCAAATGTTACTTGTGTTTCCAAGAATGCAAAATGCTTTTTCTGACCAATAGGCCTTTACATAGGCTATTTCAAGTCTGGCTACTTGCCCCTAACTCTCTATCTTTATGATTCTCATAGCTTGAGTCACACAGTGCTGCTGTTTGCTAGTCTACCTTTTTGAAGGTGTGTCTGTTTCTTGTTTACTCCTACATCTTGGTGCCTAATGCAGTGCTAGTCATGGAGTAGGCCTCCAATAAATACATATTGAAAGAACAAATGGATAAACAATATCCATAGGGTTTCAGTTCTGAGCTGTATGTAGCATGAAAAAGGCCTTCTTACCAAATCAAAAGCCTGCTGTTTGGATTGAACCAAATTGAGTCGTATGGGCAATGGGTTTGGTCATGTCACAGAATAAGGGGATAGAGAATTGGGCTTGAAACCCATTGTTCCTTGGCCATATTTTGAAAGAGGAGTTCTGTTGTCTTACTATTTAGATCGTTTAAAATGTTTCATAATAACTATTATAGCCATCTCTATGAATAAATGATAAACAGTTTAGGTTACTATTTTGCTAATAGCCATCAGTGGCTAGTAACCACTAGGCATAGTTAATGTACAAAACATTGCTGGAAATTATCCAAAGAAGAAGGTTAACTGTCTCTTTTTAGTTTTGAAATCTTCAACTGAGATGAATAAAAATCTGTATTTGTTTATTAGCTTTGATGTGAACGTCTGTTCACTATTCCCTCCTTGTTAAAATAAGTAGTAGATTCTTTCCCACCAACCACAGTGGGTTCTGGAGAATTATAAAGGAAGTCACATAGCATACATCTGGTTACTTCCGTGATTCCTGTAGACAATAGAAATTTAAAAATATTTTTTTAACTGAAGATTTATTAAAATGTATTTATTTTTTGAAGAATTGAGACATTTTTATCTTGGAAATGACATGGAAAAAGGTGGGGAGAAACATGAATTATATTAAAAATTTCAAATTTTCAGGTATCATTTTATAAACCTTTTCTGCAGTGGCTGTTTTCAAAAAGAAAAAAGAAAAATAAAATAAAAACCCTTGTTTTGTTAATAATATTATCCCAGAATATCTTCAATTTGTTTTTTTAAATGTTGTCAGACTACAGCTTTCTGAAAAATTAATGTATCCCAAATGCTTCCAGATTCTGTTTAGGACAATATCTGTCAGTATCCTTGTTTTTGCAATTATTATAATCAGCTTGGAGCTTGGGAAGCTAAATCTGCTTCACATTTAAATCAAAATTAAAAATATTTATGTCTGAGAATACTTTAAATTATGTCTGGATTTTCAGGCTTCCTGTAGTATGTCATGTGATATAACTCTTTTAAAATATAATGATCTCGTATGTTAGTTGTGCATTTATTTAAATTATAACAAGATACAGCAATGTTAAATTTTTGAGGACTCTTGAATGGATGAATTTGATACTGAAGTTGCTAACCAGGGTTTCCACTAGCTCTACAGTTTTCATTTGGAAGGGGGGCACATTTCAAGATTGATTTATTTTATTCTTAACTCTGAGATATATTTTAACATTGACTTTTGAGTTGAGTTGATCCAGGCAGTTTCTGTGTCCAACTAATGGATTCAGGAAGCAGAACTGCTGTTTGATTTATAGAGTGCTGAGCAAAACTGACTTCCACGTTTGGCTCAGTGTTTCCCAATAGACATGGAAGGAGCCCAGGCAACGCATTTATAAAAGGCTTCCTGGCAGTAAAATGGTTTACCAAAGATTGCCTCTCCTTCACATGAAGAGACTGTCTTACCATGAGAGGGGATAAAATTAATACATAGAATGCAAAGCAGCAAAGATGAGAGTTAACTTCAGAAGATAGTTTTGATGGATTAAAAAAATACTGTACTCTTATTTTAATCTTTCCTGAAAAATAATAATTTTTGAGAGCCATGAGCCCATTTGGTGCCCTAGCATGTTTGGTCTAATAAGTCCTCTTAGAACGTATTTAAACATGAAGCAACCAGCCATGGTGATTGCAATTTCAACTAACACTTAAAAAGGTTCAAAAACTATGAAGTCTCCTAGGCATGCATTAAGTTAACAGGCCAGTCCAGAATTTTGGAATAAAATATTTTCATAACCTTTTAAACACCTTTGAACGCAGACAACAGTGTGGCAATTGCCGAGGGAGGCTGGGTGGGGCGGTGGAGGACGGTATCGGGGGCATAAATGGTGACGGAAGGGGTCTTGGCTTGGCGTGGTGAACTCATAATACAGTGCACAGATGATGTGATGTAGAATTGTGCACCTGAAACCTGTGTAATTTTGTTAACCAGTGCCACCCCCCAAAATTAAATGAAACTAAAAAAAAAAATCTTTGCGCAGAAAGCTGTCACTTGCACTTACGATCAGATTTTCTCTGGGATCTCTGAAATTGTCAGAGTCTGGGTAAAGTGTTTTCTAGGAACTTCCCATTTTGGGCATGTAATTTCAAGGATCACCATTTTTTTAAAGGAAATACCTAGCTATGTTTAGTTTTGAAAATTTGTAGTAAGAGCATGTTTTACTATAATTCTTTTAATTTGGGTTACCAATATATATGCTATTGAAAGTAATATATTAATTGTGTTAGTTTGATAATATCAAGTTGAAAATGTAATAAAAATTTTATTATTTTTCAGGTATACATATGGGAAACCAGTGAGAGGAGACGTAACACTTACATTTTTACCTTTATCTTTTTGGGGCATGAAGAAAAATATTACAAAAAAATTTAAGGTAACTTTTACTGATATCTTATAACTTGTAATGGGGAAAACTATATGTGTACTTTCTCTAGAAATAAAATTTGTACTGCATTAAAAAGAATTGGATGTAATAAAAAAAGAGCTGTCTGGAATTGGACAACTGAGAATTTACCCTTTTATAGTGGTTAAAATAGAACCAGAGCCATCATAGTACTTGACGTGATTTAGTTTTAATTTTATTTCTAAAATTTAAATTGCTAAAGTGAAGAATAAAATTGTAAATTTTTAACAAAACAGATAAATGGATCTGCAAACTTCTCTTTTAATGATGAAGAGATGAAAAAGGTAATGGATTTTTCGGAACGGCTTTCTGACCACATGTCTCCATCTTCCCCTGGGCCGGTAGAAATTTTAGCCACAGTGACAGAATCACTTACAGGTTTGTGGACTTTGAAGTGAAGGTAAAGCTATTTATGTGGTGAGCTCTGTCATCTTTCTTATTATAACTAGCATGTTTATTTGGGAACATCACTGCCGAACTTGTCATGACAGTTCAGTAGTCTAGCTTGCAGAATGTTTTCATCAGGAAGGGAAACTTATTTTCTATGAAAGTCTGTACTTCAGCCACATATGATAACTATTTGGAATTTTTTTCATTCCTGTTATTTATTTTCAGCCTGAAAACTACATGGAAAGGCTTAGCCTTTCATCTTTTGTTTTTTTTTTAAATCACTTAACATATGAAATCATACCTGTTCCTAGACAGTTTTCACTCTTAATAATAAAATAAAAGTTACTTCCTTGGATCTTTTTGTTGCTATTTCAACAGTTTTCATCAATCCTAAAAAGAGCAAAAGCCTACTCTGTCAGTGGCCTTAATCTGCTGGTGCACACACATGTCAGTCATGGGGATGGCAATAAGGGTGCTTATTAGAAGGATCCATAGAGGACACAGTAGCTACAGAAGCCGATGTGGGAATGAGGCTCTTGTGCCTTGATATCTTAACCCCTTGAGGAATTAGCTCAGATGGGGATATTTGGTGGACAGAAGACGTTGGTGAACTATAACTTTCTAAATGATGCAATTTCCAAAACAGGCATCTCAAGAAATGCAAGTGCCAATGTATTTTTCAAACAATTTGATTACATCATTGACTTTTTTGATTATGCTACTGTCTTGAAGCCATCTCTCAACTTCACAGCCTCGGTAAGTTGACACATTTATCACTTATCTCAAAGCATTAACTTCAATGTGAGGAAACAAAAATGCAAAATAATATTTTCAGTGCTTTTCAAAAAATTTAAGCCAAAAGTAGATATTTTTCCTGTTTAGATATATGAGGTATATAAAATTGTTTCAAATGATCTTTGCCTAATTTTTCTGAAAAGGTAGTTACCAACAAAAATACCTTCCTCAAAGCTTATTTAATAAGCAATTTAAGTTATATTTGGATTGCCACATTGAAGCTTCTATAAAGTAATTTAAGGAATTAGATGCTAGTCAAAATTATTCAATTTTATTTGATTTTTATAGTGACTAATTTTAGTTCAAGCAAAGAGGCAGTATTAAAAATTATCAACAAATCTGCTTGAGTTTTTTTGAAAGAATACTGAACTAACACATTATCTGAGTGAATTTTGACAGTGTGCAAGGCTTGGTGATGTCTTGGATTTGAGAGCTGAGAAAGATGCGGTCCCTAACCTGGGTTCACAGTCTTTGTGATGGTGACAAGAAAATATACACACAACTAAAACTCAAGGCAGGCTAAGATCAGGGTCATGGATAAATTTCTATAGGGATTTAAAATGGGGGTTGGCATCTTTTTTATGCAAAAGGCCAAATGGTAAATATTTTCAGCACTGTGGGCTATGTGGTCTCTGTCACTACTACTCAACTCTGTCATTGTAGTGTGAAAGCAGCCACTGCCACTTTGTAGCCATGTAAGGGTGGCTATGTTCCATTAAAACTTTGTTTACAAAGAGATTGGAATTCGTTTCCTTACCTGTCATAGTTTTTTGAACGTTAGTTTGAAGAAAGGAGGTGTCACTTGCTGTTGAATGACTAGAGAAATTAAGATAATTTCTGATTGCAGTGATCTTATAATTTAGAGAGTTTGGAAAGGTAAGTAAATAAAACCAAAAACCAAAAACCAAAAAACAACGTAACTTCCAAATGAGTAGAGTGAAACAATGAGAGTTCAGAATACATTAGATTTGGGAGGCAGGTAGAGTGAGGGAAAATTCAGAGATGTTAAATCTGGCAGAATTGTGGTGTTAGGAAAAATAGGAATGGTGAGATGGTTACTCAGTTTTAGATGTACTGAATTTGAGATGACAGGGATATGCAGGTAGAAATATCCTCCATGATACTGGAAGTGATGAGTATGAGCTCAAGAGTGAGGTATGAATGTCAGCAGGAAGACAGAAGAACACATAATTGATAATTTGGCCTTGATAAATCCCCACATGTAGGGGGAGGGAAAAGGAACCAAGATAGAAACTGAGAGGATGCAGAAAGAGGGGTATGAAGTGAAGGAGGCTGTTACTGGAGCCACTGAAGGCAAGAGAAGCCATTTTATCAAGAAGGGAGTGGTCAATGGTATCGGATGTCTTCAAGAGAGACCACCTAATCTGGAAGTTAGGGTATCACTAATAATTTTTGAGAGTTTGATCTTATAGGAATAGCACAGATGGAAACTGGATTCAACTGAAATTAAATCCTTTGCTTCTCTCATTATCTGTTTTTATAATGTTGTGTTTGGACAATTAGGTGAAGGTAACTCGTTCTGATGGCAAGCAACTGACTCTTGAAGAAAGAATAAATAATGTAGTCATAATGGTGACACAGAGAAACTCTACCGAGTATGAGAGCAGATGGAACAGTAGAAACCAGGAAGTAGAAGCTGTCCAGATCATAAATTATACTGTTCCCCAAAATGGAATCTTTAAGACTGAATTCCCAATCTTGGACAGTGCCACTCAGCTACAATTGAAGGTACCATCTGTTTTCCATCATTATGTTACTGCAGTAATATCATAAAAATTGTAATCTTATGGTAGGCACTCAATCTGTTGGAGGTCAGTGTACACAGGAAGGGGACGTGTTTGTGTATCTTAAAATGGGGGGCAGGTGTTAAAAGTAATTTAATGACGGTAGCTGAGGGTTAGACTGAATCCTTTCTTGTACATTCATTTTGAAAAATGCAGTAAAATTTAGCAATCTGAAGATAAGATTGAGAAGCTCCCAAACTTCCAGTCTAGATTGATTTTCAATCATTTGAAATTGTATTTTGGCAGGATCTAATATGAAAGAGGAATATATACTTTTTACACTTGTACTCCTTTGTTGAGCTCTTTCCCCGCAGTGGCTCCTCTGAGGCTCCCGGACCATTCTTGTTACCTTTCTTTGGGTGACTGGACCCTGCTGCAGGTGTGGCCTCTTTGAGTTTCACTCTGGCTGTTGGTGGATCAAGTGGGCTAATATGATTTCTTGTTTGTAAATGAGCTCTGTGTTATGGAGAGAAGGAATGGAATCATATTCTCTTCTCACAGGTTTCCTGATAATATACCTTTGTTTCTGAAATAAGTTAGGACTACTTTTATTTTTCCTAGATCATGATGATGAAACCCTCTTCTGTGTTTTATAGCTGTCACTTTGTTTATAGTATAAGCTATGCAACATGGAAGATCCAATGTCTAGGGCATGTATTTTTCCTGCCTGTAAAAAAAGTAAAAGTGCATTTGCTTTTTAGTGATTGGTCAGCAGGTACATCTTTTCTCAAGGTGTTGTTAAAGAGAAAATTTATAGCTTCCTTTTCTTTTGTTACAGGCCTTTTTTCTTAATAGTGTGGGCAGCATGACGGTTCATGGTGTTTTTAATTCTCCTAGTAAAACATACATCCAGCTAAAAACAAGAAATGAAAATATAAAGGTAATGCTTACAATCACTTGATAATTACAATATAATTATACTTTTATGCCATTAATATCTATATATTAATTCAGATTGTTTTCTAGGTGGGATCACCTTTTGAGTTGGTGGTTAGAGGCAACAAGCAATTGAAGGAGTTAAGCTACATGGTAATCTGCTATAGAATCTAAATTTATGATCTATTATGGAATCATATTAAATGGTGTCTACCGTATGTCTAGATTAATTTTTATAAGATTTTACAAAAAGATTTATTTATTTATTTATAGAGAGAAGGGAAGGGAGGAAGAAGGAAAGGGAGAGAAATATCGATGTGTGAGAGAAACATTAATTGGTTGCCGTTCACATGTGCCTCAGCCAGGGACCAGCCTGCAACCCAGGCATGTGCCCTGACAGGGAATCCAACAGGCAACCTTTTGCTTTGTGGGATGATGCCTAACCAACTGAACCACACTGGTCAGGGCTAAACTTATGAATTTTTAAAATTCAGCCTCTTACCTTTTTAGCCTGCCCTGTTTATATTGTAACCACAATATCGTGTCTTTCTTTGCTTATATTTGCATTTCCAATTTAAGAGGGATAATTAAATGTTACATTATATTTAAAATTTAACTTTTAAAATTTAAATTTTATTAGCTATGCCAAATATCTTCATTGTAGGAAATTATAAAATAAAATAAAAGCAAAAAAAGAGAGTAAAATTGCTACATTCAGCTTTGTAGTTTTGATAATCTAGGTCTCCCAATGATGTTCTGTATTCCTCCCACTCAAAAATAGATTTTTTTTTAACCCTGGCTGGTTTGCCTCAGTTGGTTGGGCATCGTCCCGCAAACTGAAAGGCTGCTGGCTCGATCTTCAGTTAGGGTACATACCTGGGTTGCAGGTTTGGTGCAAGAGTGGGTGCATGCAATAGGCAACCCATTGATGTTTCTCTCTCACATTGATGTTTCTCTCCTTCTCTTTCTTTGTCCCTTCCCCTCTCTCTAGAATTGATAAAAGAAAAAAATTAAAAAATAGATTTTTTTAAAATTAAAAAAATGTTTATTTCTTTTAAGTTACAGTTGGCATATAATATTACATAGTTTCAGGTGTGCAGCATAGTGATTAGACATTTATATACCTTATGAAGTCATCATCATGTTAAGTCTAGTACCTATCTGGCACTATACATAGTTATTGTAATACTATTGACTATATTTTCTATTCTGTACTTCATATCCTTGTGATTATTTTTATAACTGACAATTTGTAATACTTAACACCCTTCATCTTTTGCCCATCCTTCTACCTTCCTCCCATCTGGCAACCATCAATTTGTTCTTTGTATCTATGAGTATCTGTTTTGTTTTGTTTGTTCATTTGTTTTGCTCTTTAATTCCACCTATGCATGATATGCAGTATTTGTCTTTCTCTGACTTACTTATTTAGCATAATGCCATGTAGGTCCATGTATGTTGTTGCAGGTGGCAAGATTTCATTCTTTTTATGGCTTAGTAATATTCCATTGTTTGTATGCACTACATCCTCTTTATTCATTTGTCTATTGATAGACACGTAGGTTGCTTCCAAATCTTGGTTATTGTAAACAATGCAAAAAAATAGATTCTTGACTGTGAAGCCACTAATATTGCTTCGGCCAGTGTTGCTTTACTTTATACTTTTCTATTTCCTAGCCTGTACTCTCTGTGTTGGTCAGGGATGCTTTCTGGCACTCAAAATGACTTCGAAGTTGGTTTAAGTAAAAGATTTGTGTGGATAGTTATAATGATAAATGTAACTGCAGTTTAAATTCTCACTAGCTTTAGCATAAAATGAAACTTGACTACTATTTTTTTCAGGTAGTATCCAGGGGACAGTTGGTGGCTGTAGGCAAAAAAAATGCAACAACCTTCTCTTTAACACCAGAAAATTCTTGGGCTCCAACAGCTTGTATAATTGTGTATTATGTTGAAGATGATGGAGAAATTATAAACGATGTTCTAAAAATTCCTGTTGAGCTTGTTTTTAAAAATAAGGTAAGACTTACGATAATGATGTTTAAAAGAAAACTTTGTATTAGTGAAGTCTGAGAAATGTAGTATTTTTTTAGGAAAGTATCATTAAACTAAACTGGTTATAAGTTTATATTCATTTCTAGAACTATAGTTAAACCTCTTCATATTTAGTTATTACATAAGTATTTTTGAATGTGGAGTTATTGGGCTCTGTGGGTCTTATTTGGAAGTTATGATTCTTGGCTTTAAGACTTTCACTCAAATCCATGAAGCTATTGTAGGATTTCTCAAATGGTGGAGTGAGTATTGCTCTGGCATGGAATTCCAGCAGCAATATTGAATTAACGTGGGCTTGACGTTGGTGTGATAGTGAACTGGAGGGTGTTGGAGGGAGGGAGGCTGTCTGCAATGATATGTGAAAGCAGAGCCAGGCTTCGGTTTATCTATTTCATCAGCCTGGAAACTAAGCCAGGGCAAATTTACAAAAAGCTTGGCTACCTTGTATGTGGAGATCTCTGTGTGGAGTCTGGCCTCCAAATACAGCAGTGATTATTATAGCCTAAGCTGTGTAAGTTGCATAGGAAACCCCCTTGAACTCCCCACAGAAAAGTAACCCGGTTTCAAGAGTGCCAAGTGGTATTGAATCATTTTATGCATACTAAAATGAGCCATTGCTCTCACTAAAAGCTGCTGCTTTCCCCAAGAATACCAGATACTGCTGTTGTCTTTTCAGCACTTGCTGGGAGCTGCATTGTGAGGGATGGAGAAAGGGAAGAGGAAAGGTAGAGAAGTAAAGGGTAATTCAGATTTATGCCGCTGTGAGAAATTCCATCACTTGTAAACACTGTGAGAGTATTTTTTAAAAAATTTCTCTTCCTGGAGAAGGCTTATGTATGGTTTTAGAATGATCCCTGAGCAGTGGCAAACGTAGAATTTTTTTTGCTAGATTTTGAGTCCTTGATCTGTTATCGGCAATACATGTACATAATGCTGTAACTAGTGAAAGAAATCAATCTTGTTTTCTCCCTTTCTTAGGTAAACCTCTTTTGGGGTAGAGCTAGTGCTGAACCAGCTGAGAAAGTCTCTCTTAGGGTCTCTGTGACACAGCCGCACTCCGTAGTCGGGATTGTAGCTGTTGACAAAAGCGTGACCCTGATGAACGCCTCCAATGACATTACGATGGAAAATGTGAGTTTATCTCTTTTTCATTACAAAAATACACGTTAAAGAGAAAAGAGAAACAATTGTGTTAATTCATATATCTAAAGGAAATTTCAGTAGTTCCTTTCCAAATATAAGCCAATAACCAGTAAAGCTTCCAAATAAAAAGGATCTGCATTTCAGTCCTTTTTTCTGGAAAGAGGCTGATGCGATCCAGTGTCTCTGCTGTCTTAATGTGAGAAATGCCGACTGGAATTTTCACTCATTCGCATACCATATTTTAAATTAAGACTCTTGAGACAATACTGGGAAATTGACTTGTCCAGTGCTAGGTGACATTGGAGAAGAAAGCTTTTAATACTTTTGAAGAAACTTCTATTTGGCTACGTAATGGTTATAAAGTACAGTCCCCGTTGAATCAGGAATTTGCAGTGCATTGAGGGAGTGAAATCATGTGAACCTGCAGAAAATTTGCAAAGTAAAAGTATATGAACATCTAGTGTTACACAAACTAATCCCCTATTTATTAGTACTTTCATTTTTCATTGTAAGTTTGATAAATCCTTGTGGACCATCATCAGTTGAAATCTAGATTATATAATTTATACCCATTAATTGATTAAGTACAGTGATTAACAACATGTCAGGAATTTTTGTCTCTGCCTCTGTCCCCACCTTTTTCCCATTTCCAACCAGATCATGTTGATATTGTATAGAATTATAGTTCTGTGTCTTGACTGACTGCTTTTTAAATCTGTTTTCCCTTAATTATTTTTTGGTCCTGGAAATTTACATCCATTATTTCTTCATATATTTCCTCTTCTGCCTTTTAATTTTTCTCTTTTTCTGAGACTCCTGTTATTTAGAGATTGGCACTTCTGCTTCCTTTGTATTGCTTATGTTTTTGTTTTATGTTTTTCTATCTCCGTCTTTTTTATATTTCTTTGGGAGAGCTTCTTGTTTGACTCTTTCAGCTCACTGACCATTTGTCAGCTGTATTCTATCCTACTTTGATCTCTTATATTGGGTTCTTAAGGTCAGCTGTTACATTTATAGTATCTATTATTTTCCTGTGGTTATCTTTTGTTCTTGTATTATATTGCTGATATTTTCCCTACCTCCTTATATATATTTACAAAGTACATTTTAAATGTTGAGCTGACTTTTTCAATATTCTGCTTCACATGCTATCTTGTCTTGTTGGATGTCTTTTATGGAAGTTATACTCTTTGAATGTCTAGCTGCTTTGGCAGCTACTCTGATAATGTCTGTTGGGGGAGGCTGAACACCCTGTTCCAATCTGTGTAAGTGAGGGAAGGGGTGGATCTGCAGGGACTAGAGAGCTACTCTTGATCCTCCCTGTGTGCTGCCTGATTCTATACAGATTTTCTTTCTTAAGCTTTTAGGGAAAAGCAGGACCAGGAAGAGGCAGTCTCTTGACATTATGATTCACCAGTCTTGAAGGTGTTTGAAGGAGAAGGGGAGGAAGAGTGAATGCTTGAGGGCCAGGGGATCTGTCCTCATGTTTTCCTCACTCTCTCACACCAGAAAGGCAGAGGGGCTGATCTGGTATTATCTTCCTGACACCCGCACAGGTAGTGTGGGCTGCCGCCGCCACTGATATTTTGGCAGTAAAATTGCAAGGAGTGATCTTCCTGGGGCTATAACCTGGGAGAAACAAGAGCAGAACCTAAAAACCTTTCCTCCAGCCTGTTACCTGACTGCTGCCTCAGGTACCTTTCAGCCATTCACTTCCTCCTAACACAACCGTTGAAGGTCTCTTTCACTCTTCCCAGGGTTTTCTGCCCCACACACCCAGTTTCCTGCTTGCTTCTATTGTTTCTCCTGAGTTAACTCTGGATGGGGGAGTCAATAGACTGTGATAGTTGGCTATTTTGGCTTCTTTCATTCTTGCTAAATTTATAGGTGCTGCCGAGAGACCATTGGATGCTCAGAGTAAGTTAAGTATGCTAGATCTTCCAGGAATACTTTTCAGATACCAGCTTTTCCTTCGTTAGCCTGTGCTGCAGCTTTGGCAGTGCCTTGTTATTGAGTCAGTGAGAAAAAAAGGATCGCTTTATGAGATAGATGCTTCTTCTTAGGTAATTTCATCAGTTCATGGGTGTCAGCAGAAGGCGATCTTGCATGTATTTGTGTTTTGTGGCAGAGTTTGAGTCATGGAGCTGGAACCTTTTTCTCTTTATTATTTCTGGCTCTGTCTCCATTGTCTGTACTTGGGCAAATAACTATATTTGCCAGCTTATTGAGATAGTATGAAATTTTGTTTTCTCATTTGGTGTTGTCTTCTTGGTGCCTGCTCTAGCACCATGTCTGCTTACCATGGATGTAATGGTGGTTGTTAGCATAGCAGAAACAATGGTTGTGGATGTTTAATTTTAAACTTTGTTTGATTTTTAAAAAATTCTTATAATCTTTTATGATTTTTATAATACCTCTGTTAATTTGGTTAATGCTAATGTAAATATGGGAGATGTGTTAAAATAGTTACTAAAGGACTATAATAACCTTCCTTTTAGATTTTACTTATTTATTTTTAGAGAGATTGGAAAGGAGGGAGAGAAACATCAATGTGTGGTTGCCCCTCACGTGCCCCCTACTGGGGATCTGGCCTGCAACCGAGGCATGTGTCGTGACTGGGAATTGAACCAGTGACTCTTTGGTTTGCAGGCCGGCACTCAGTCACTGAGCCACACCAGCCAGGGCAACTTTTTTTATTGTAGTAAAAAAATATATATCATAAAAGTACAATTTTTTAAAAGCACAGTTCAGTGGCAACAACTGCATTCATAATGTTGTACAGCCATCACCAGTATCTTTCTAAAACTTTTTCATCACTTCAAACAGAAACTCTGTAACCATTAAGTATTAACTCCTCATTCCTCCCTTCCTTCAGCCCTTGGTGACCTCTAATCACATCATACTTCTTTCTTTATGAATTTGCCTATTCTAGTTATTTCATATAAGTGGAATCATTTAATATTTGTCCTTTTGTGTCTACTGTATTTCACTTAGCATAATGTTTTCAGGGTTCCCTATACTGTAGCTTGTATCAAAACTATTTTTTTATGGTTGATTAATATTCTGTTGTATGTATATATCATATCTTGTTCATCCACTCTTCTACTGATGGATGCTTATGCTGTTTCTACGTTTTGGCTGCTGTGACTAATGCTGCAATGAACATTGGCATACAAGTATCTCTTTCAGTCTTTGTTGTGTAGGAGTGGAATTGCTGGGCCTTATTCTCCTTCTACCATTAACTTTTTTTAGGAACTGCCAATTTTACTCACTCTTGCTAGCAATGACTATTTCTTTTAGAAAATAACATTGCAAATGTGATACATGCAAATATCTTGCTGAAAAAAAATCTCATGCATGTTTTAATTTGCACTGCTTTGATTATCAATGAGGTTGAATATTTTTTCTGCTTATTAATAACTTACATTTCATCTTTTGTGGATTTTCTCTTTGTGTTATTTAAAAAAATTAACTGATATTTTGCAGAACTTACTTTAATCATTGAATTTAGCTTGCTTGTCTCTGCTAAAAGTATTGGTCATTTTTAATGTTGACCTTCATGTGTTGGTTTTGTCAACCAGTGACATTTAAATTCCTCCTGGGCAAAACTCAAGCCCATACTTCTTAGGAACTCTCGGCTGCTAAACAGACTAAAAGTAAGTTTAAATAAGAAATATAATTTTGGCTTATTGAATCATGAACAAGGCAATCACATATCATTTCTCTATTTTTTCTATTTTCAAATTTGATAAGTATGTGGGCTGTGTATTATCTGAGTTACATCTAAGAAATGTTGCAGAGGGAAGAAAAGGTTGATATGAATCTATCCATTTCATATGTTTTATCTTCTGCTTAGGTGGTCCATGAGTTGGAACTTTATAACACAGGATATTACTTAGGCATGTTCATGAATTCTTTTGCAGTCTTTCAGGTATGTTTAGTTTTCTATGTAATTTGAAAAGATATTAATATTTTTTACTGTTGCAAACACTTTTAGAATTAATTATATGAATTATGAAATGTAAGCCTTTTATTAAGTGCATTGCTGAAGTGCAGAGTGCTATATAAGTGTAATTTAAAATGGAAAGATAATCATCCTTCTAGTTTTAAAAGCAAATGGAAAAATTCACTATTAGAGAAATTAGTGGAATTGTCAAATAATTCATTGCCTTTATATCACTTTCCTTGGCTTGTTACACACGTGTGTGTGTATCTGTGTCTTGAGAGGGAGAGAGAGAGAGAGGGAAAGAGAGAATGTATACTCATGTACATACCTAGACACTCAAAAATGAGCAAGAGTGAAAAAAAGGACTCCAATATTGTGCACACAAATGAGCAAGAGTGAGTTAGGAGGATGGGAGACTGCTGTGACAACTTAGAAAGCATTAAGCTTTTAAGAGAAAATTTAAATTATTCCTTCTAGGAATGTGGCCTCTGGGTCCTGACAGATGCAAGCCTTATGGAGGACTACGTTGATGGTGTTTGTAAGTAAAGCCTGGCAGCGTGCTCTTAGAGTCTTTAAGTCTTTCATCTCAGGCATTTAAAATTACTTACATAGGTATGAATACTTTCTGGTTGAACACGGACATTATGATAGTTATTTTCTGTTCTCTTAGCTTAAAATGTGTGGAGTTTGATGTACTTGGAATTATACCTGGGCCATGACACGGAATGTTCAACTGGGCTTCTGTCTAGACCTTTGAAATGAATGCTTTCCATTTGTTCTCTGTAATTCTTTGAGGTGGTTACATTTTTGGACATACTGGAGGATCCTATGCTTCCAATTTGTATTGCAAACTGTCATGTTGTTTTGGAATTAGATAAAAGGAGCAACATGTTTTTGAAACATTTTTGTTCTCTAGAATAGAGCCCAGATGTTGTAAAATATGTTGATGTGCACAGATACACACACACACACTTGTCACATCATCCTGAGTTCTTCCTGACAGGGTCGCTTCTATACATCCTAGTTCCCTGGGTTGCTAAATACAGTTGGCCACTCAGCTAACGATAAGAACTGTACTTTTAGGAAGAAGTCATAAAATGTTTTGACTGAGGAAATGTATAAATGAGAATAGGTGATTCTAGAAGCTGTTCGTTGTTTCTTTCAGGTAAAATTACACTAATGTCATCTTGAAAGGTGTCAGAACTGCCTCAATTTCTCCACATCAAGTTCTTTGGCATTGGGTTGGTTTTTGCCGCATACCTGAGCCTCTGTCCTGAAACTAAAAGGATAATTTTACAGTCTTTTATTTTTTAATCCTCACCCAAGGACACGTTTACTGATTTGAGAGAGAGAGGGGATAGGGGGAGGGGAGAGACAGACAGACAGACAAATAGACATGTGAGAGAGAGACATCAGACTGATGCCTCCCGTATATGCCCCGATTGGAGTTGGAACTCACAACTGCTTGGTGCACAGGATGATGCTCCAACCGAGTCACCTGGCCAGGGCTAATTTTATAGCCTTAAAGATTTTATGGATTTATTGTGATCTCAGTGCGTTAAAGACATGTGGTACATTTACCTTTCTTCATGCAGTTATCCTAGACATCCTACTGAGCAGTCTACCATTTTTCATTCTGTAAGTCTCAGCTGTTACCCATCTTTGTTCATCATTACTTACTAACTCCTGATGCTCACTGAAATACTCAGTCTGGTGTTAGCAATACTTACTGCATCCTTTACCTTTCTTGAGAACTTTCTTCTATCTTTTTACTATAACAAAAGAAACCTGATAACTTTTACTGGGGTATCATATCCTCAGAAACCTTCTCAAGTGAACATTGATTTATCTGCCCTGCCTCTGGATCAGGATCAGTCGGCACATAGGGTATTTCTGGGACTACTTTTTCTTAAATACTCTAAGACCATTGTTCAACAATCCTGGGGCTACTTTTTTTAAATACGTTACGGCCATTGTTCAACAATCCTTAGTTAAGAGCCTCTTATCATTTGAAGCTCAGAAGTTTTAATTATAACTTCTTTAATCAAAATTCAGGTCACCTACTTTCCCTTTCCTTCTCTATATATTGATGCTCTCTATATATTTATTCAGAGCCCTGCTCTGTTGTCATCCTGGGGGATTTGAATGTGCATGTCGTTGATCCCTCTAATATATGTTGTCCTGTGATCACCACTGTAGAAACAGTAGTCACGCAAGGGCACGTTATCACCTGAACACTGCTCTGCTCCTGACATTTCAAATGCCTATGCTTCTACCTTGTGTATTCCCTCACTCCCCTAAAAATCTATCAAATGTGTTCTTTGGTCTTGACTCCTTGTTATTCTGGGTCATTGGCTCCTTCTGCATTTATTTTCCTCCAATACCTGGTGTGGACCACATGGCCAATCAGTTTGGAAGAATTCTGCCTTGGTCCCTTGTCCTTCCATGACATGTTCCCCATTAAACTCAACTCTGAACAACTTGACTGTCTGTCTTACCCCTTTGTTTCTGCACCTTGATGCTCCACAAATGCCTTAAATACAATATGTCACAAGCAAAGTTTATGGTCTTCTTGTCTCTTCTTACAATTTCACTTGTCCTTAATATGTTTTGAGTGGTATATGATTCCTGGAATTAATATGATTTCATATCTCTGTTAATGAAATCATCATTTACCCAGATGCCCAAATCAAAAACTCGCTACTTATCCTCTCTTTCTGTCCAATGTGGTTAAAAAACGAATTAGCCATCAAGTACTTCTGGCTTTGAATCCTGGCTTTATGACTGAGAAAATCAATTAACCTCTCTAAGCCTCAGTTTCCTCATGAAATATAGGACTAATAATATTACCTGTATTACAGGGTATTGTGAGGTTAAATTCAAAAGCCTGTAAATGCTTAGCATGTGTTTGGCACATACAGCCTGCAATTACTTATTATATTTTCCCTCAGATCCAGTTTGTCTATTCATTACTCAAAAGATACTGGTGATATTAATTGCGTGTCTGAGGCAATGGAGCTTCTAACTTGGTCTCGTGGAGCAAAGCAGAACACAGTTAGAAGAGTATGCTGTCGGGGGAAGTGCAGTATGCCATGGGCACACATAGAGGTCATCCAACCAAAAGATAGAGCAGAATGATCTCTTGAGACTATCCTTCCTCTCCTCTCCTTGGTTTCAGGCCCTTATCAGTGTCTCCTTGACCATTGCTGTAGCTTCCTAACTAACAGTTTTGCCTACTTCCATTTCCCCTAGCTCTGAACCATTGTTCAGTCTGAGGCCAGAGATAGTGTATAAAAAACATGGATTAGAGCATGTTTCTAATTTATTAAAAAACCTCCAATAGGTCATCATAAAGGATGACATCCAAACCCTTCAGCATGAGATATTTGATATTTTAAAATCTGGACCCAACCATTCTTTTTCCTCTCATCATATGCCACTTTTACCTAATACTCATTGTCATATTCTGCATGTGTCTTTGTACTTAGTTTACTCCCCCAGCCCCTCGCCCCCTGTATGGGATACTCTTAGTCTGGAGACTTAAGGAAAATGGAATGGCCAAAACAACGCAAAATGGAATTTTCCCCCCTAACCATACTCTTTGCGTCATTCAGATTCTGTGTAAAATCAACTATTCTCTGCTTAATAGACATTTTACATATGTCTGTTATTACTCTTACCTTGTTTGTTACAGTTTTCTATTTGTCTGCCTCCTCCATAGACTATGAGTGGAGCTCATTGCATTCATCTTTGTATCTTTGGTATCTGCTATAGTATTATTTTTTACATTTTATTTTGAAATAATTTTAGACTTATAGATGAGTTGCAGACATGGAGATTGGTGATCCAGAATCTGTATCGCAATATGGCTTTTTAATAAGAAGGAAGCTAGTAGCACCTATGGCTGCTGTAGCCAGGGGTAATCAACATTAGAGAGAGAGCTAAAAAAGAGGAGAATAGCAAAATTGGAGGTAGCTTTAAGAATGTGATTTAACTGATTTTTTAGTAACTGAACTGTAAGTAGTTTTTCAGGTATTGGCCATATGGGTAGGAAACTTTTTTAAAGCTCTCTCAGCTGTCACTGGCCATGTGGCCTTGGGTAAGTCATTTAATTTCTCATATTTCTCATCTGCAAAATGAGAGGATTGGACAAGATGAACTCTGAAGTCCTTTTCAGCTGGGAGGTACTGCAATTCTGTGGACTAAGTTTACGATCATTCTCTCCGGTGACTTTTTCCCTAACAGTTGTCAATGTTTATTTTTAGATGAAAGTGTAGCGTTTGCTGAGGACTACTTGGAGGAAAGTGACAGACACTTGGTAAATTCGTATGACTTTTCTTCAGTTGACAATCCACGTGTCAGAAAAAATTTTCCAGAGACTTGGATTTGGCTAGACACCAACATGGGGTAAAAATTTACAAAAGTTGTTTGTCCATATATATTTTGTTTAGTGCTCATTTTAAAGAAGTTCTGTCCTCTTTCTAATGGTTAAGTACAAACATAGTGTGATTAAGAACTAAATAGACCAAGAGGTTTTTTTATTTCAAAATGATTTTATTGTATCTAAATATAGTATTTAATAAAGCCAGGTGCAAATTGTGGCAGTGAAGGTATCATTAAGGAGCAGATAGGCTTTTTTCTATTGAAGGGTGATTTTAACTTCCTTGAAGTTTCTTGGTTCTCATGGGAGACAAATTGCTGAGTGCATTTGTTGCCTTGGGGTGGGGAGCGCTCATGGTCACTCCCTCTACCTCGTGGCTCCTCCTAAAACGCCCATCCTTGTGAGCCTCAGGGAAAAGGGCTGTGGGAGGTGTAAGGAAGTCAGCCTAGTTGACACATTCTATGCTACCTGCCTGATGACTAAGGAAGGAAATCATGAAATGCGCACATATTTTATAAAAAGTCAGCCATTTATGGAAATTTGAAATAAGATGCAGGTCAAACCTAAAAAAAATACCCAACAAATAATAGCATTGGTTTGGATACAGAGGGAAACTTTCAGGTATATTGAGAGACAAAATTAGAGTTATTTGAAAAATATATTTATTATATACACAAAATCTATTAAAATAATGTTCATTCTTAATATGTAAACACTGTATAAAGCTTTTATTTTAGTATGGATCAGTGCTGTTTTATGCATAAATTAAAAAATTTAGATATGTAAATGATTTGTAAAATTAATATTCTTCCAAAAAATGGTTTGGGTTATGTTGACTTATTTTGAAATGTATCAGTTCTTGGTTTTGTGATTTTTGTTTATCTTGATTTCAGTTCCAAGATCTATGAAGAATTTGAAGTTACTGTACCCGATTCTATCACTTCTTGGGTAGCTACTGCTTTTGTGATCTCTGAGGATTTAGGTCTTGGACTAACAACTGCTCCAGTGGAGGTAGTATATTAAAGTGCTGCTTATAAATGTTACAGTTTCATGAAGTGAAGAAGGTGTCAACTCCTCAATAGATTATGATTGCTTATGATGTTGATCATGGTTTCGAGATTCCTAGGTTTTTTCTTTTTGTTTTTTCTGTTTTATATTTTAAAATATGAGCTGTACTAAGCAACTAAATATGCTAGATCCATGTTAAGATTTGGATAGAAAGTTTATTATTGACCAAATACAACCCCTTTCAAAGGTCAGAAGATAGAAACTATTTCTGTGTCCCTTTTCAAGGACAAACAGAACTTCTTAAGATGCCCCCTAGCAGACATTCCTTCATATCTCTCTGGTCAAATTGCATCACCTGTCATTTCCTAAACTAGTCACTGGCAAGAGAAACATAGTAACTATCATTGGTCTTAGACCAGTAGCTCTCACCTGACATGCCTGAAGCCTCCCTTTTATAACATATATTTTGTTTTATCCCTTTACCAATCAAAATGAAATTTATAGAATATAAAATATACCCACATTTTCAATTAAAAATCAATATGATGCCTGAAGTGAAGTATTAAGCAGGAATAAAAGGACAGTAAATATAAAATAATATATATTTCAGTATACAAATGACCAGCTATAACTAACTGCACTAGAAGACAGAGTAATATATTTAAATATTTACGCCATGCACAGAAATGTACTTTGACATATATATTGTTTTAGCAATGCAAAAACCTTGAGTGGTGCTGCCTGTAGTGATGTAAATTTCTGAAACATTTACAGAAACATTTACATGTAGTGATGTAAATTTCTGAACAACTTTTAGTAAAGTTACAAATAAAACAAGTGCAGTCTTCTTTTGATTTACAAAATAGTCATTTGTGAAAAATGGAGTGTGTATTGAAAAATGCTGTGCACTTACATATATGTTGTAGTTATGTTGTAAGTTCAGGTTATCATAAGCAGGTACTTTATCTATAGCACACCAATGTCTGAAGAGACATTTAAGACTCTTGAGGGATATGAGACACTTCTCTATAGTCTGGGACTGTCCTGAGCATTGCAGATTTTCACTTGCTGAGTGCCAGTGGCACCCTTCAGACACTGTGGCAATTTAAGACACTTCCACAAATGTCCAAATAAACCTCCAGAAGAGATGTCTGTGGCCAGTGAGAACCACTGGTGTACAGGAATCAAGCTTCATCCTCAGAGGCAGGGGAGGGGATTCAGCTTCCCCTGCACGACTTGGTCAACAGTGTCAGAGTTGAGTCACCAACGAGGAAGTCCTTGTGTCTGCATATGTGAAAGGCAGTAAACAAAACATCATTTAGACTGCACATGAGTGTAAAACAGTGGCTCTTTCATTTGGCCAGCTGCTTTTGAAGCAGATCGGTGGAGTCAGTATAGCACAGTAGAAGAGGAACTTGGCATGGTTGTCAGACACGCTGGGATCCAGTTCTGGCTCCTCCAGTTACTGGCAGTTTTATCTCAAACTAGTTACAAGGGTCTCTGAACTTCGAGATTTCATTTCTATAAAATATGAGCATAACACCTGCCTCAAGGTTGTAATGATTAAATGAAATAATTTGTGTAAGGTACCTGGTTCCTAGTAGGCCTTTAATAAAATGTAGTGTTGACTAACATAAGTCAAATCAATTTTCCATCATCATTTGCAATAGGTTGCCATTTGCTGTATGTTGATAGGCAAGTGGACATTTCTGTGTGAAGTTTTCATAGGTTTTTGTGAGATTTTCTTTTAATTGCATAAAATGTGAAGCATTTTGATTCAAATAAAATATGTATTCATTGTGTTCTTTTCAGCTACAAGCCTTTCAGCCATTTTTCATTTTTTTGAACCTTCCCTACTCTGTGATCAGAGGTGAAGAATTTGCTTTGGAAGTAACCATATTCAATTATTTGAGAGATGCCACTAAGGTAATAAATTAAAGGTTTTGCTAATCACTTATATTTCAGAGAAAAATGGAGAAAACTTGCAGGGACTGGGTTGGCTAGTGTTTGGCTTCTGGGTATCTAAGCCTTTTATACGTTCTGGAAGAATGCACACAAACAGACTGTGGCGACGATTTCTTCTGCTTATTAACGTCTAAGGATATCATTCTCATGTCTAAGCATTCTCTCCCCGCACCACCCCCGCCTTTCCTCTGCAGCACAGTTCCACAGTTCCTTCACTTAAGCCACATAACTTCCGTGTTGTCTCTGAGGCTGGTCTTTCTCTTTGCTGGCTTCTGCAGTTTTTTCCTAGTCTTACTCTCATCTAGAATGTGTTGCCACTTATCACTGTCATTCTCTGCCCACTGTAGTTGGCAAGAAGTTTATTTCATTGAAGATCTTGCTTGAAACCAAGATGCCTTTTCTCACCCAGTCTGTTATGTTTAATGTCCCCATGTTTATACAGTGCGTTCTATTTTTAAGGCTTTGTTTTTTGAGTCATGTGCTTGTGTCTCCTTAGTTAGTCAGCTCCCTGGAAGGCAGGGTTAGGCTTAGTATGTGTGTTGTGTCCATACTAGAGTTAACGCTCCTCCCATCTCCCTGTCCCAGAGTAAGTAGGGATAACCTTATTAGGTTAATTACTCCATGAAAATGCAGTACTCTCTTTAAGCACTGTGTCCATAGAGTAAATTGGTTCTTATTTTAAAATTTTAGTTTTTGATGTAGTCAACATGGTACAGTGTGAAGAGCAAAAGCTCTGGAGTCTAAGGCCAGGATTCAGTTCCCTCTCTACCACTCACTGGCAAGTAACTTAATTATAGTTTTGTCATTTGTAAATGGGAATAATAATTACTGCCTCTACAGAAAATAATTGGAGAAACATGAGAAAATAAATGGGAAAACAATTCATAAGATGTAAGGCCTAGAGAGATGCTATTCTTGATGAGACTGGAAACTTTGACATACTTTACAAAAGTTTACAACTAATGTATGCTTCAGGACTAATGTCTGAGTCATACTTCCTTGGAATAATTTTAGCAGAGACTCTCAGTGAATGTCATAACACTTAATCCGTTTGTCTTAGGGTTTCCTAATAAGACCAGTGTCTCAGAATGACAGTTAAATCAGGCTTGTGTCAATACCATGATATGAAATAACCTTTCTGGGCAACTCCTTACCACTCAAAGGCTTTGGATAATAAGAGAATTTGATGTTAGTTGGAGTTGAATTTAGAAATGAACGCTGGAAAGAAATGAACATTTCTTGATACCCTTTTATCCTGTCTTTGGCTGAATCTGTCTCATCTTTTTCTAGTCTTGGGTCTCACAGGTTATAACATCTCAAAGTAGTGATAAAGAACACTTTACGCAGAGCATTTATTATACAAAGCCTTCGATAATAATTTTTCTTCCAGGTCAAGGTGATCATTGAGAAAAGTGATAAATTTGATATTCTAATGGCTTCAAATGAAATAAATGCCACAGGGCATCAGCAGACTGTTCTTGTTCCCAGTGAGGATGGTGCAACTGTTGTTTTCCCAGTCAGACCAACGCATCTGGGGGAAATTCCTATCACAGTCACAGCTGTTTCACCGGCTGCCTCTGATGCTGTCACCCAAAGGATTTTAGTCAAGGTAAACATTTGAAGTCTCAAGTAAATGAAATGGAAACTTAGAAGTGAAAATGGAACAGAAGATGGTCTTTTCTTGGTTAGATTTGTTGGCAAGACCTAGTGGGTCATCTCTTCTATCCTTCTGGTAATGCCTAATTGTTTTCTCATCTATATGTAAAAATATATTACATTTTGGAAGTAGCTGCCAATTTCCTCTTTACATTTATAGTATGGCTATAAAGCAAGTCTCTTTTGCAGTTAGTTATATTTCCAAATCATATTACATTGGGATCCTATTAAGTTATGTTAAGTTGACATGTAGATTTTGAATTTTGGAATTCCTCAGCACAGGTAGAAGACATTTTGTAGAATTTTTTTTTTTTAAGAGAACATATTGTACACAAAAAGATAACTCGGCATAGTGCCTAAGCGCTTGTGTTCTCTGGTGAGGCAGCCCTGGGTTCGAATCCCAGCTCTGTCAAGTGTGACTTTGGACAAGGTATTTAATCTCTCTCTTGGATCTAATGGAACCTACCTCAGAGAGTTTTTCTCATCAGCTTTTCATTTTCTCCTTTGTCATTTCCATTGCCATTTCATGAAATGGTTTGTCTCATTTAACTAGAAAGTAAACACGTACACTTATTCACAGATTTGAAGAGTCAAGAAATGGTAGGTGCTTACCTAACCGTACTCACACTGCAGACACGACAGGCCAGATGTTTGTTTTATTGTCTGCATACAGTCCTCTGTAAACAGATAAGTGGAGACCACATTAATTGTATTGTTTTTGTTTCAACAGGCTGAAGGAATAGAAAAATTATATTCACAATCCATCTTATTGGACTTGACTGACAACAAGCTACAGACTATGCGGAAAACTTTGAGTTTCTCCTTTCCTCCCAATACAGTGAGTGGCAGTGAAAGAGTTCAGATCACTGCAATTGGTAAGAATACAGTATATCACCATCACTACTGGTTTATTTATGCATGATAATATATATTTTCATCTATTTGTAGATGTGCCATATTTTCTTAGTCATAATGAGAAGACATTGCAAAAAGTTTTTGGTTGGTATCATCAAATAGAAAGGCTAGTAAGATTACAGTAGAAACGCTAGCAAGATATGTTGTCCTAAACCAGTTCTCCATGTTCAGTGTGCATGCGAACAGCCTTGGGGTCTTGTTTAAAGGCAGATTCTAGCTTGGCAGGCCTGGGCTGGCACCTGGGGTTCTGCATTTCTGACAAGCTCCCAGGTGGTGCTGATGCTTCTGGTCTGCAGAACACTCTCTGAGGTTATAATGTGGCTGTACGGGGTGGTTCTTTCTAAGAGCAGAACTGGCTTCTGTGGCTTTCCAGTTCTGGTAAGTATCGCAGGCTTCTGCGGCCTTCCTCCATCAGAATTTCTGGGGCTAAGGCCAGGGTATTTATATTTTGAAAAGGTTCCAAAAGTGCTTCTGATAACCAAAAGCTGAGAGCTAGTGCTGAAGGCAGTTGTTCATACGGGACCCAAGCCACCTTGACAGCCGGGAGGTATGCACTGACTTTAGGCATCCTCTCCTCGTCTCCCTCTGCTTCCTAAAAGTGCTTTTGAATCAGCTATTAAACACGGCTCCCACAAAGTGTGTTTATATAGTTGTGCTTTACAAAAAAATTGAAGGAAATGTTTAGATTAATGACATCTAAATTGTGTTTTCAAGGTGTTAGGACCTTAAGCACTTTCTCAGAGGTTCTTCTCAATCTCATCTGCAGGTGTAATGCTTTTTCTTATAACCCCAAATAACCAGTTCCTCTATAGAGGACTTTCTTTGGAGCCTTAGATATGACTCTTTAGCGAAATAAGCCAGGGGGCAAAAGACAAATACCATAGGATCTCACCTATAAGCAGAACCTAACCAACAATACAAAGATGCAAGGAAAATAAGGCCAGCAACATTGAAAGGAAAAGAAATCAACAGAGACAAGAGGGAAGGAGCGGGGGGCAGGGAAAGGGAAGGGAAGGGGAAAGTCAAGGAACATACAGCAAGGACTCAAGGACAAAACCAAAGGGGAAGAGATGAGGGAGGGAAGGAGGGAGTGGGCAAGGGAAAGTGGTGGGGGGGAGGCAGAGACAAATGTATTTAAAAAAAAATAAAGTTGAAACAAATGGAAAAAAAAAGATTTTAAAAAGCTCCTTATTTAGGGGAATAAAAATTCTGCCTAGGCATCCCCTGCAGTGTTGGGATGCTGGGAGGGTTCAGCCCACGTGCACACCCATGCATGCCTGAGCACACTTGAACACAGAGGGGAGAATGCTTGAATTTTAAATGTATCCAACCCTCCTTACGCTGGAATGAATCTATCTCGGGTCATTGAAGTACTCCGAGATTTACTTTTTAAGCTTGACCTAAAGAATAATCTTTCGAGTTTTATTTTTATATGGTATTTATTTTAAAAAGACTGGTAGCTCAGAACGTATGAATTTAGCTTGCTTCTCTGACTTTTGATAGTCTAAGTTTATGTTCACTCTGAGTATCAGAAACATAACATGCAGTGGTAATAATATTACCTTATATCTTTGTATTAACATTGGAAGTTTGATATCATATGGTAGTGTGGCGGCAGCCTACTTATATGAAAGAATTCTTCCTCTCTTTTTGGACTCATTTTTTGCTGGGGGGAGGTCAGATTTTTCACTAGGTATTTGGGCTTGGAATGGAATAAGTTTCTAAACTACACAGAAGACCATGCTTCATACAGCTCAACCTCAGTGGGGTCAGAATTAGAACTCAACCATTATATTTCCGAATTTTACTTATTTTCCTGAGTTATGGTGTTAGAATGTGGATAGAGAAATCTTTCAAGCATATTTTGTTTAATTTTATGTTACCAACTTTGAAGACTATTTCTAATCCTTTTTGATTCTGAAAGTCATTAAAATGCTTACATTTGTTAGGCCTACTTTTTTGTTGCTAAATAAAGCACATTAAAAATACTATAATTTCTATCTTTTTAAAAAATTATTTCTCAAGTATTTGTAGCATATTAGTAAGAAATCAGAATGAAGTTCTATTTATATAAAGAATACTAATTTAAAAACCATTTCTTTCCTATATAAGAACAATGGTTTGCTAATGGTTAATTCCTGATAATTTTGTTCAAGATTTATTTTTTAAACTTATTTTTTTGCCTAGTATATGCCTATATCTTTAGCTGAGCTAAGAAGTGTTCTAATTTGCCATGTAATCTACAAGTTCAGTGTCACTGTATTACCATTTATTAGAGCAATCATCCTAAAAACTTGATGTACGGTTTCTCCTCTGTCCTAAGCGCCAGATACCTTCTGTTATCAGTGGATGCCTCCTCTCCAGCAACAGGTACAGGTGTTGAGTGTTTGCTGAATGTGTTAAATATCATGTGCTTTCAGGAGATATTCTTGGTTCTTCCATCAATGGCTTATCCTCATTGATTCGGATGCCTTATGGCTGTGGTGAACAGAACATGATAAATTTTGCTCCAAATATTTATGTTTTGGATTACCTGACTAAAAAGAAACAACTGACAGAGAATTTAAAGGAAAAAGCCCTTTCATTTATGAGACAAGGTAAGCATTTTAGAAACATGCTTTTATTTGTAAATTTTTTTTTTTTTTTTAGGCAGAGTTCACTCTATTTTACAAAACAGACAGATTCTGTCTTTGCTGTGTGATTGTGGGACTTTGCTGTGTGATTGTGTGGGAATGTGCTTGGAGTGTGCACTCATTGCTTACTAATTGCTGCTAAGGTGTTTGTTAAGGTGTTGGTTTAAGGAGGGGTTTGTATTTTAATAAGGCACCTGAAATTTAAATCTACTTAAAAGTCTAAAGGAATGAGTGTTCATTTATTCATTAAACATTGAGTTCCAGGGTTCCTTCTAGCTCTGAGGAGACAGAGGAATTCCCTCTTCAGGGGAGAAGACAGTCTGTACATAAGCGCATGTGGTGTCCCATGGTGGGGACCTCAGTGCACGTAAAATGTCAAGCCGATGGTTAGGAGAGAAACATTTATATGGAGAGGCCCTGCTGGCCCCCCCAGAAAGTGCCAGAATGATGGTGACTGTACCGTGTGACTCCTTGAGAAGCTGATACTGTTTGTGGACCCCAGAGAGTCTGTGCCTGCAACTTGCTAATGCCAATGGTTAACATTAGTTGAGCGCTTTACTATGTGGCAAGCAGTGTTTTATGTCTAAAGTCTCATTTAATGCTCATCATTAGTATAGTATTATCCTTCTATTTTCACAGATGAGGGAACTGAGGTACAGAAAAGTTAGCTAACTTGCTCAGGGTCATGCAACAGGTAAGCAGCATAGCTAGGTTTTGAACTCCAAGTACTTACTCTCTTTGGTATAATAGTGTGTGCCATGCTAAAAACAAATGAGGTCTTTGCCCATTGCCACCATGATTATAGTTAAGGAGATGAGTAAAAAATATTTGAAATTGTCATAATTTAACTCTGTACCTTTTGAAAGCAGGATTCTGATTTATATTCAAAATTTAATTTGGCTGACTGAAAAGGATGGTATATAGGAACTAGACTGTTGTAAAGATTAAATGAGATATTTTAGCACTAGTTAGTTGTATCTAACAAGGTCTAAAGTCAGCAAGTCAATCTTGTCCATTCTACCTCTAAAAACAAATGGGAAATTCTTTCTCATCCTACAAGGCCCTGAGTGAACTGGCCTGGCCTCCACCTTCCACCTTGTCTGATGCTGCTGTCTTTTGGTTCCCTGTCTGGCCACCTCTGAAGTTTCAGGACCTTTAAACTTGTCCTTCCTTCTCCTGGGAGGCTCTTGCCCCAGATCTTTCCATGGCTGGCTCCTTCTCATCATTCAGGTGGTGTTTTTCTCAGACTGGCCTTTCCTGACCATTTAGTAACCTCTCATTTATATTATTCCATTTTATTTTATTTACCACACTAACACAAATTATCTTATTTTTTTTTTAAAAATTTCAATCTATCTCCTGCACTAGAAGATAAGCTCCCTGGCAGTGGGGACCATCTTTAATATCTCCTCCATTGTATCCCTATATTGACATTTCAGTGAATGCAGAGAGTGGATATATTTGCACCTCGATAAATACAGAGTGGATGAACGCATTGCTGTCAGTGTTAACTTCTTTGGGCCTTAGGTTCATCATCCTAATGGGGCGATTGGACCAGGAAGATCTCTCAAATGCTTCCGCAATGCGGTAATTATTTATAAACACTAGGCCCTTACATGTTCTTATCAGCTAGAAAATGTGGCCAGTGGTTTCAGTGTTTTACCTTTTGAGCTGGTGGAGTGGTTGATGGAGGTCAGTCCAGTGGAGCTCCCCTAAGCACATCATTTCACATGTGGGACTGAATCATATTTCAAAGTAGTGGACAAAAACTTCTTGGTATAATGATTTTCATTATGAAATCAGTGTCTTATTTCAGAGACTCTGTTTTTTCTTTTGCCATCACCTTTGCCAAAGTCCTTTAAATATACCGTAGTTGTTTTTATTTTTTTAAGGAATTAAAGTGGCTTTGGCATGAGTCATGATTCTATTATTTAAATGTCATTTACGAACAGCGCATTGTTTTACTTAAATCATGCTTGGCCCAGGAGCCCTGTAACCTAACCCGTTGTTTTTCGGTCAAAACAACAGCTACATCATTGAATGAAGTGTCTTTTGCTGTCAAAAGAAAAATAGAACTGTAAAATGAAAGCTGTTTTTGATAAGCACTGGAAATCCTGAATCTGTTAATTAGAGATTTAAAACACTTGTTTTCCTCAAATATTTAAATCATAGTGCCTGCAGCTCAATTTTTCAAGTGAGACTCAGACCAGGCTTAGTTTAAAACACATTATATTTTCTCTGTTGAAATAAAACAGGAAAAAAATAGGTTTCAGAAGTCTGGTGCTGCATGTGGCTATCACAGCAATGGCTGGAAGCACTAGTGAAGATGTTACAAGGAAACCTGGTAAAGTTTTCATTTTCCATTTCATGTCATAAAGTGTAAGGGAGTTGATAATGATTACTTATCTTTTAGTACAGGTAATATTTTTATCAGCTTTTTTTTTTTTTTTAAACCAGAGAACGTGATTGATATAGTAACAAGGAGCTGATTTTACTTTTTTTGTTCATATGCAATTTTGACATGAAGTAAACCACATCCAATTATGGTTGGAATGTTACTTTTCTATGTGTTTTTGTGAATAGTGCTTTCATATTTATTATAAATTGTAAATATTTTACATTTGTGGCTATTTCAGAGGAAAGTCATGACCCGGGAAGTCTGTATCTTTTCTGGCCCTTTCTAAATGACAGTTCATGTGGCATGCTTCCAGCAGCCTCTGGGCTTCCTCTGTATTTTGATTTTCAGGGTATCTGTTAATTCTGATTATACTACTATTACTTTCTAATTCAGGAGCTATTACTTTTTAACTCAAGAGATATTCATAAAACTATGAACTTAAAGGCTACACTCTTACTTCCTCATAAACACTTGGAAAACACCATGTTTTTGCCCTTCTCACCCATTGTAATGAAAAGTCTCCAACTTAGGTGACTACGTTGGAACATTGAATTGTAGTATTAACAAGAAACATTACAACCGAGTCGACAGTGCGCTTTTCGGCTTATGGAGTGGATGGTGTGGAGGACAAGGAGCTGAGGGCTGTCTAACAATGCAAGGCTGGTGGGAGACGAGGAAGGGAGCCCCACAGGAGACTCCGCCAGGAGAGTCAGATGAGCCCCTCTCTTTGGGTTCTAACTTTCTGCTTTACTTTGCCATGGGTGCAGGGCTAGTGGTTTAGATTCTCAGTTTCATCTAAACCAGCTCAAGAAATACACTCCATACACTCCCAGCGGGAGAGTGTCTCTGAGTCCTTCCCCTCCTCTGGGCTGGCTGCCCCTGGTGGAAGAATGGTGCTAGTTGTTGATATTAATGGGGACTGTTGGAGGTCAGCCACCTGAGGGTAATTTCCATAAGCACTGATCTCATCTCCATGAGCTCATCTCTCTGACCGGTTTTACATAACTCATACTTGGAACTGCAGTTGTTGATGTGATTTCGGGGCTTGGAGGCACATGGTCTTCTCCTCGATGTTGGTCCTTCCTTTCACAGAAGCACCTCCTGTTGTGATGGGGGGTCCTGGGCCTTTGCTTTTTTCTTTCCCCTTCTCTTCTTTTCCTCTTCTTTCTTCTCTCCTCCCTTCCCCTCTCCTCTCTGTCAGATTGGGTTCACAGTTCAACTCTACCTGGTCTACTTAGTCCTGAATTGGAAATTGAAGGAGATTGCCTTGGACTCTTTTGCTAATTTCCTTTGTGAATGTTGGAAAATTATTCTGCTTCTCTGTGATCTCTGACTGGCTCTGAAAAAGGAAGAGATTTTATTTTTCTTTTTTTTCAACATTATATAGGAACTAAAAGATGTTAAAGTGAACTAAGGTAGTGTGAATAATGCCTATTGTTTAATTCTTTTTATTCTTACTTGACTTTTTGAATATGTAGATCATTAATATCCTCTTAAAAGTCACACTTATTCTGAAAGATATATGAAAAGGGTATCTGTGCATCTTGTATCCCTTCTCCCTACCCTTGTAGGTAACTTATTCTTTTAGTTTCTGGTTTCTCTCTCCCTCTGTATGCAGAAATTAACATATACACACGTTTTCTTGTTTATTTCTTTACACAAAAGGTAGTACACTACATATGCTACTTTAAACTTTGCCCTTTTCACTTAATACTATTTTCAGCAAATGACTACATGTCAGTCCAGAGAAATAATCTTCATTCTTTTTTCACAGCTACATGGTACTGCATTGTGTGTACTAAAGTTTATTCAACCAATGTCTAATTTTGGGACATTTAGGTTATTTCCAGTATGCTTGCAATGACAAATAATACATTGATGAATAATCTTTTGCATGTATGTGTTGGTATTGTTAGAGGTGTATCTTCAGGATAGATTCTTAAAAGTGGGATTATTGGGTCAAAAGAGCCCAGGGGTGTCCAACGTTTTGGTGTCTGTGGGCCACATTGGAAGAAGAAGAGTTGTCTTGGGCTATATGTTAAATACATTGTGGCATGTAATCAGAAAATGAATCCCATAATGTTTTAAGTAAATTTACGACGTGTTGGGCCACATCATAGCCATCCTGGGCTGCATGCAGTCTGCAGGCTGTGCGTTGGACACCCCTGGACATTTTTCTACATAGAAGTTGCACCATTCTGAATTCTTTCCAGCAACGACAGGTACTGGTCTCCTTACAGCCCCTCCAGCGGAGTGAATGGTCAAGCTTTGGAATCTTTGCAAATGTGATGGATGAAAAATGGCATCTCAATGTAGTTTTAATTTGCATTTCACCTATTATGAAGATGAACGTTTTTCATATATTAAGGTCCATCTTTCTTTGTTTTTTATAAAATGGCTGCTCTTGTCTTTTATCCATTCTTTCCTATAGGTTTACACATTTTTTCTCTAAATTTGAAAATTTTCTTTATATATATATATAAATATATTGTAATAATATATAAACACATACATAACATGTATCAATTAATATTAGGGATATTAGCCATTTATTTCTTTTATATGTTATAAACTCTTTCTTCCAATTCATGACCTTTTAACTTTACTAATAGTGTGTTTTGCCATGAAAAGTTTAAAACAAATTTTTTTGTAGCCAGATTTATCAACTTTTAAAAAATGTGTTGGTTGAGAAGCCTTTCCTTGTCCTTTTTTTATGAAATGATACCTATTGCTTATTGAGAGCTTGCCATGTAAAAAGTACTGTGCAAAGGACTTTTCATACAGTAATCGTTGAAAGAGATCCCTGAATTAATAGGAAACAGCAGTTTCGCAGACAGATAGACCTTGGCTAAGGCCTGGTTTCAATACCTACTAGCTGTGTGACCTTGCACATGGTGTAGTCTCAGTTCCACTTTTATCCTCTTTGAAAAGGGATAATAATGGTGTGTACACCATACTGTTGCAAGAATGACCTGGGTCCTGAAAGGGCTTTGAACAGTTCCTGACACATAGTCGGTATTTGGATAAAGGTTGGCTATTTAATTACTGTGCCATAATATTTTAGTTTTAAACTAAAGATTATAACCTAACATCCCCTTTTTCAAATTAAGCAACATTCTGTCATCATTTAAATGTTATATATATTTTTTACCATGGGCCTTGAAGATCACCGTGAAACAGTGTCTTGTTTTTCTTGAGTGTTTTGTCTCACTGTAGCTTAAATCAGCTCGACAGATCTGGGACTTCTTGTGGAGAGGCTCCCTGAGAAAAGTTCGGGCTGTGGCAAGAACAGATTAACTGTGATTTTAAAATATTAATACCCATGTTTTATTAATCAAATATGCATAATTATAATTGTAGATGCTTCTAAAATGTGATATTCATAAAGTAAAAATTTGTATTGCTAGAATTTACTAGGGATTACGTGCAACATGTTACAAACGTTCATGGTTGCTGGGCTTTATGTGGCCGTGCTGAAGGCTCGTGGAGTGTGCCCTGCCTGCCTGTCATGGAATCCTGTAATTTTCAAGAAGAATTCTTGGTTATCAGAGAATCATTGATAGTACCTGGAGCTCAAAATATTTTTGGCTCTTGCTTGTACTTGATTTTTAATGATAAATTATTGCTATTTTAATTTCATTTTTAGCAAGTTAGTTTGTTGTGTGTTCTTTGGTGGATCTTGAGTGTTCAGCCTATGATTTCTAAGTCACTGGACTTCAAGACCTGCATGCATCACTGCGCAACTATGAAACATCTGCCTCTTATTTGCCGTCATTTATCTGCAAATATGAAACATCTGCTTTTATTAAAGCAGATACATGAACCTTAACCCCCTCCTCAATTTACTTCTATAATGAGACTTCATTACTATCATCAAGGATTTTTTTTTTTGTTTTGTTTTTTTAAGTGAGAACTTGGAATTGATGTGATGGGCAGACCAATTGGTCTTTGGTTTAACTCTGCTGGCCATGGCCAAAAAATTTTAGAGGCATTGTCTTCAATTATTTAACAATTCCTGCTTCCTCCAACCCCCTCTATTGCTGGCTAAAAGTAGAATGCATTTTTATTTTCTGTTTTAGCTTTAAACTGTAATATTGATATTTTAGGTTTTTTCTTAGGTAGCAAACAATTTTAGGTGACTAAGTATTGAAACCATTGGAGTGAAAACTACAGAGCTAAATAAAACTCTGCCTTTAATTTGCTTACTTTTGAAAGGCTGGAATTGTTGTCTATGTTATAGTATTCCTCTAAATTTACTTTGGGGATATGACAGTTGTGACTTTTATGCATTCTGCTTGAAATGTTATGGTATTTAAAATTTTCCACAGCACTTAACATAGAAAGTATTCAATATTAGTTGTTGATTTGATGTCTTCTTCTTTCCCATTCTCCGCGTGATGTTCCCTCAGTATGAATGCATGATTAGAAACTTCCATTCATTGAAAGTTGATTACATTGATGATCTGTCTCGGTGCCTTTAGGTTACCAGAGAGAACTTCTCTATCAACGGGAAGATGGCTCTTTCAGTGCTTTTGGGAATGATGACCCATCTGGGAGCACTTGGTAAGTGTTTCTGCTAACAGAACGAGTCTTCATCATGCAGTGGACCCTCACTAGGTCACAATGGCCATGAAATTGATAGGTGTGTTATATCTGAAATGGCTCTGGGTCTGCTTTTCTCTTATTCTGTCTTTTAAAGAGATTCTGCTTTTTAAATATGATTTTAAAACACTAACAAAGCAAATATCTTTGTTTAGAAAGCTCATATATCCTCTTTTAGTGGAAAAAGCAGAAATAAAAATAACACATGGTGATGGTAAAGCTGACAAGAGAATCAGTTAGAAATACCTGGTGATTGTGACATAGCTTTTTCTTTAATCTGACATGACCAACATGAATTTTGTGTTAATGCAGTCAGTGTAGTTTCTATAAGGTTATTTTTCCATGTGTGCAAAACAGTGATGGAATTAAGTAATGGATATTTAGAGTCTCCTCAAGAATGGAATCTCTGCATGGCTGATTTTGGATGATTACTCTCTCTCCTTGCTATCTCCTTACTATCTTCAGTTCACTCAGAAAAAGGCAGACTGTATCAGTCAGGTTGGACAGAGCATGCTGTGGTAACAAATAACCCACTTCAGTAGCTTATTGACAAGAGTTTTCTTTCTTACACATGCCACATTTCAACTGTGGCCCAGCAGGGGGCTCTACAGTCTATGCTTCAGCTGCCACCATCTCATCTCACCTCTCCTGGAAACTCCAGGCTTGCCACTGCCTGGGAGAAGGCTGCAGTAAGCAGCACTGGCAATTGGATGCTTCAACGTGGCTGTAACATTTCTTTTCATTTTATCATTATCGCTGCTGGTCACATGGCCATGCTTAACTTCACGGAGGCGAGGAAGTGAATTCCTCTGCATCCTCAAAATAAAAGAGAACTGGATATTATTGAAATATTAGTAATGTTTACCACATTAAATCTTTTATAGGATGAAAGAGATCTGGTTCAAATTTTCTTTTGGCATGAGTCAGGATATAGATCCATAAATAGAAAGGTTTCAGCGTTTTATTGCTTGACATTCTTTTTGCCTCAATATTTAATGTTCTGTAGCAGAGATCAGCCAACTTTTTCTGTAAAGATTCAGATAGTAAATATGTTAGGCATTACAGACCACATGGCGTCTATGTTGCATATTCTTCCCTCTCTTCTCATCCCTCTTTTTCTCTATTTCTCTCTTTAAAGACCATTTTTAGATGGAGGGTGGAGAGGGAGGTGTACAAAAAACAGACTCTGGGCTGTATTTGGCCCAAGGACCAGATCTGGCCAACAGATTTGGCCCACAGGCTATAATTTGCTGACTCCTGTCCTGTAGGAAAGAAAAATGTCCATTTCCTCTACTTACAAGCACAACAGTTTGTGATCTGTATATACTTTATCCACAATTTAAGGGCTAAGCAAAGTGTGTAATGAATTCATTCTTGGTAAATACTTAGAACAGTCCAAAGATGAATGATCTTGGACAATTTATTTGACTGTCTTAGAATGTCAGATTCTCAATTTATAAAATAATGAAGTTGTATTAGATTATTTTAAAATTTCTTCTTAATTCTGATATTTTGTAAGTTGACCTAAAATTTCTTGGCCACACTCAAGTGGAAACTGGGTCCATCAGCTAGACAGAGTTGTTTATGTCACTCCTTTGTTGTTTTCTTCCCTCTGTTTCTTCATCAGTGATTCTCTCTTCGGTGACTCTTCTAATGGGGAAAGAAGTGTTGTTATTGTTGGTCTTTTTCCTGCTCAGTGTTATTTGGAGGACTTTATAAATTGTATTTGATGTAATTCCCCTCACCACCCCCCCTTTCTTTTTACCAAGGTTGTCAGCCTTTGTTTTAAGATGTTTCATTGAAGCTGATCCTTACATAGATATTGATCAGAATGTGTTACACAGAACATACACATGGCTCAAAAACCATCAAAAATCCAATGGTGAATTTTGGGAGCCAGGAAGAGTGATCCATACTGAACTTCAAGGTGGCAATAAAAGTCCTGTAACACTTACAGCTTATATTGTAACTTCTCTTCTGAGATATAAAAAGTATCAGGTATTTAATCTTTAACTTCTTAAATGGGGGATGAGAAATCACAAGAAAGTTAGGTCTTGATGGATCAAATATGTGTCTGGAAACTTAAAGAGTTTTGGAATTTTACATCACCTTCAAAGTCTGAATTTGGGCATCCATTCGCTTTGCATTTGTAGCCACATTCCAAAATCTGAAAATAAAAATATCGACTCACTTTCTCAGAGTCACTAAGAGAATTCTAAAAATGCTTCCCAATAAAAGTGTTGCTGTACTTGCTGTTGGTAAGATAAGTCAATGTGTATTTTGTCATTGGAAAGGTTCATTTCCTGGGGGACAGACAATTCTTCAGCATTTGGGAGTGCATTCTAGCAAATGTAGGTTTTTTTAATTTCTAAAATATCATGGAGCAATTACAGTGTCTGCTAATTTAGTACAAAGTGCACCCACACTCTAAAAAGTGTGTTAAATGGGCATGGGTGTCTGGATGAGAACGCATGTACATGGAAAGCTATGCTAATGAGCTTAATTTTGCTCCGAGTTATCTCATGATTGATGCCTTACTGCTTAGTGCTGACTGCATTTCCCATGATCCAGACCAGCCGTTGTCTATATTAAACTCCCACTATTTTCCTAGCCCAGTACTAGGCATGGAGAAGATAAACGTCCCCCTGAATTTAGAGCATCAACACTTGAGATCGAATATGAGCAATATCTTTCTTAAGCTATATTTTATGCTTTCACCTGAGTTCGTGATATTCAATGGGAGAAACGTTGACAAAAACTCTACTTTTTATTCCCTATAAGGAATGGTGCCTTTTTACTTATAAAAAACTAAACAGCTGTGTTATTTTCAAAACACACAGCAAATGTATAAATGTCAATGATCACTGTTGATTCCCATTGCCTAAGACAAAGTCAGGTGCACAATAGATGATGAAATAATTTTTTGAATAAATGCTTGAAAATGCTTTTTTGGGGGGTTATTTTGAAAGGTAAATATTTTTTTTCTTTTAAGCCTTATCTTGAGATGCAAGAGTCTGTCAACTTTTTGGAATCTGAATTCAGTAGAGGAATCTCAGACAATTACACCCTCGCTCTTGTAACCTATGCGCTGTCATTCGTGGGGAGCCCCAAAGCCAAAGAAGCTCTGAACATGCTGACTGAGCGAGCAGAACAAGAAGGTAATGCATGGGTCCCGTCTGAGGTTGTGAGACTGTCATGCATTGTGAGATATATAAAGTATGTGAGGAACTTTGGAAGCCAGCTAGGAGGTGGATGACATTTACATCTTCTAAATAGATGAAAAAGGAAGCACAGATGGGATCACATGGGTATGACACGGCTATGCTACTTCTCCTCTCCCCGAGAGTTTTCTAGAGAATTTCGGGGCTCGACTATTTTCTTGTTTTAGATCTATTCTGCCAGATGTTGGTTATCTTTTGAGTTCTCTGACGCCACTTCTGGTGTGGTGGTCTTGAGTGGTTGTTCAGAACGTGGTTTGTGAGAGACTGGGGTTCAAATTCTGGTTCTGGTTACTTTCCTTTATGAGCTTCAGTTTCCTGAACGGCAGCACTGGAATGCCACCAATTTTGGGGTTGCTGTGGGGATTAAATCAGATAATGCACAGTGCCTGCTGCATGGCGGATGTTTAAAAATGTGAACTAAAATGCCAATTAATAGAAATGCAAATGCCAAAAATGCTGTTAGTGAATTAATGTGTATGATCTATATTTTTCGATTGTCCTGCTGCTTCGGGGCTACAGCAGGACAAAATGTACAGGTATTGTCACTTCCCAAATGACCTCTATAGTCAGAGATTCAGGGTGAGCACACACACACACCTACAAGTGTGTAGATAGATAGACAGATAGGCAGATAGATAGATATGGGGATGAGTGGGCTGAAATAATTTTAGGTAATGTCCACTGATTCAAAGCTCTGTTAATTCAAGATAGGATAACTGTAGACTTCTGAGGCTGTAAAAAAAATAATGCATTATTTTTATTATTAGCAGTAAGTTAGATTGAATCCTTATTACCTATTGCTGTGCTAGGGAATAGAAAATTATTGCATTGAAGCTGAAGCAGTTCTTGATATTTCTTCTTCTTCTCTACTTGGCTAGGTGGTAGTTATTACACATTCCACCTAAGTGTAATCATCATCTAAATAGTAATATTTGAGGGGGCGAAGGCACCAAATAAGATGTTCCTCCGGGGGCTAGTGGGAATATCTCCGGGCAGATTGTTGAGTTGGCCAGGGTCCCTCATTGTTTTCTTGGGGACTTGGATTTTGAACTTGTAACATCAACTTTCAGATAATGACAAAAGAGAGGTTTCCCAGAACATTTGCGCTGGTTAATGGCAGATTCCCAGATTCCAATGTGCCCTAAAATATTTTGGGGATGGCCTGGTCAGAAAAGTTATGTACATTATCTTTTGGAATATAGTGTCTTTTTTTCTTTTCTTTATAGCTGTTTAGTCTTGAGCCAAACATATGGGATTTCTTTTGGGAAAATATTTTCATCAAAACATCTTCACATATAAGCAATAGGAAAAGGATGAACATTTTTAAGTTTTATAGTTTAAAAAGTGACATATAAGTACATGTTTATATATGTGTGTTGAAATACACATATTTTTTCCTTGGCAAAAATATACACATGTATTAGAGATATATATATTTTTATGTTACTCAAGTAAAACTTGGACCAGTGTAAGAACGTTTAATGGTATAAAACATAATTCTTCCTTAATTGCTCAGACTGTCATCACTTTTCTCTTGCAGGAGGCATGCAATTCTGGGTATCGTCAGTATCCAGACTTTCTGAATCCTGGCAGCCAAGTTCCCTGGATATCGAAGTTGCAGCCTATGCATTGCTCTCTCATTTCCTGCAGCAGCAGTTTGCTGAGGGCATCCGGATTATGAGGTGGCTAAGCAGGCAAAGAAACAGCTTGGGAGGTTTTGTATCTACCCAGGTGAGTGATGATGGTTTTAAATTTATTATCCACTTCTCTGTAGCTTTAAGAAGTATGTGGCCACTTTTTTTTTCATGACTTTATAAAATTACTTGGCAGTTTAAAAGTTTAGTAACTTAAGTCAAAAGTTTAAGTTACTCGTTTTAATTTTTTTCTTGACATGGATATAAGCATCATGTCTGATATTTATATGGAATGGATTAGTTCCCCATCTACGTTAGCCATTTCTTCGTCTGTGGTAACTGATATTATAGATGGTCGGTTCCATCCAGCAGGTATTTTCTGAGCCCCCCTGTACTCTAGGTCAAAGAGATTCAAATATGAGTAAAGGAGAGTTCCACTCTGAAGGAAGGGGGATGAATGTATAGCAGGTGTCCTAAACATTACTAAATTTACTCTTTGGACACCTTGATACACACTGACATGTGCAAATGTTTTTCTTTCCTCAACAGGACACTGTTGTGGCCTTGAAGGCCCTGTCTGAATTTGCAGCCCTAATGAACACAGAGAGGACAAATATCCAAATAACTGTGACAGGGTCCGGTTCACCAAGTCCTGTAAAGTTTCTGATCGACACACAGAACCGCTTTGTCCTCCAGACGGCAGAGGTGTGAGAAAGGGGAGTTTATTTGAAATTCGTGTAGATGATTCCTCATGCTGGAAGACTGCTTTATTTCTGTTCTATTGGTCGCAACAAAGACCTGTTGCCAGAGCCCTGTGGAGAGACTGGGAGGAAGGAGCACATGACTTTGGTTGAATTTGCTGAGCTGGGGAAGAGAGGAAGGGACAGGAACTTTGTAAAAGGAGAAAATGTGGGCACTGCCATATTAGGAGGAGAAGGAACACTGGTTGAGTTACTCTTCTTTGTAGGCACTGGGCTAAATTTCTTTACGTGTGCTATTGCATTTACTTCTCAAACCTAGCACTAAGGAATAAGTACTTTGATTCTTATTAGACACATGATAAAACAAGCTGAGAGAGAGTTTAAGTAACTTGCTCAATATCATGTTACTAATAACAGTAGAGCCATGATTTGAATCCATGGTTTCAAAGACCATGTCCTTTTCAGCTGCACTACATGTCCCCATTGGAGAACTGATAAAACCAGTAGTAGAATTCTTACTTTGAAGTGGAATAAAGGCCTATGCTAGACCCTAACTTTATCCCCCTGGATAACCTTTGGGAGCCTGAGAGTAATGTATGAAAGTGATAATTTCAAGGCTGGAAACTGAGGAAGAGGAGTTATGGTAAAGGAAATGGAAGGAATAAACGTAGTCACAGGCAATGATGATGTGTCGTTGTGTTCTCAGTAAGGCCTGGGGGGATTAGGCACTGACTAAGGGAGGGTAGCAGAGACGACTTTCTTGTCTTTCGTGCATTAGCCCCTACGGAAGGGCAGACCTGTCTGAGGCACTGACTTGCCCTCCTAAAGGCAGAGGTGAAGGTGGGCGGAGACTGTGCACTTGCTCTGCCTTCACCTTTAACGTAGTTGACCCATAGCTTTTGGCAGGGAAGACCGTGTAGAGTTCTTAGAGCTTTCCACAGATCACTTACACTCCTGATGAGGGATAACACTCATCCCTTGTAATGCGTGGGCCTACATATGGAAAATTAGCCTCATTTGCTTTTCCCCCCACCTTTATTCAGCTTGCTGCAGCAGAGCCAACTGAAGTTAATATTTCTGCAAGTGGTTTCGGATTTGCTATTTGTCAGGTATGTAATAATAAGTTTTGTTTAGCTAAATAGGACTTGTTATATCAATTCTTTGGTCTGGGGAAGTGCTAAATCTTTAACTTAGACAATGCGTAAAGTTCTTAATGATTTATTTCTATGACTTAGGCAAGATAAATCACTCTTTTAAATAAAAAGTATTAGAAATGTGATTAGCTAGTGAGTGGACAGCGACTCTGTGGATGGATAATCTATTGGAAAAATATTTCTTGGTTATTATATGCTTTTTGAAGTGAGAATTAAAATCCTCCAATATTATCCATGTGAATTGTTGGGCACTCCCACTTTATTTTATGAAAATACAGCTCAGAATTATAATGCTATGACTGGATAAACAAATATGCATTTTACTTACAACTTAATATTCATCTAACAATATAAAGGTCAACATAGTATTACAAGTAATTGATCTAAATATAGGAATTGTGTCTTTTAATGTAAAATCTACTGTAATAGTAAGTGAAACAATTAGAGCATGATATTTTTAATGCTCTGGTACGAGAAGAAAATCCAAAGAAACCTATTTTGTGTGCAATAGGAGTTAGAATAAAATGGAAGTAGTGTGAAAAATATTGAATGAAATAATTATTATACAAAATAATATATGAAAATCATCTTAGTAGAAACCCAACATAATATGTGATAGGACAAAAAATGATTATGTACTTGATTAGAAAAAAAGAAACCAAACAAACCCTGAAAGGTTTACTGAGAAAATAAAAAAGTAGCTATTGTAGAGAAGGGGTACTTTTTTCAAAAACCAGAACAACTGTTCTGGACAAGAGAACAGGTATACTTATTAGGTAGGGCAGAAGGTCAGGTATAATTTGGGAATTTCCAAATAATTTTAAGATTATTTTTTCTGATACTTAGAACAAGTGAATTTTTTTTTTAAATCAGGGGAAAAATGACCACAGTTAAAAAGACTGAAAGAGAAAAGAGTAACTAATTTATATTGGTCTTTACTGACAAAGGCCATGTAAAAAGTCTTATTCCTAAACTCTATTTCAATGCAAACAGTAAACCCAAAAGCAAATACACAGGATATTTTAGATACAATTGAAAAAGTGTGTATGTATACTAAAAATTATATCCATATACTAAAGTCACCAAATTGGTTGAAATTCATTCTTGATAAACCAAATGTAGATACATTACTGAAACCAAATGATTTTTACGTGAGGTTTGAATGGCACCTACTGGTCAGAATGTTCATCAGTCCTATGTCTGTATCAACATGCAGAAAACAAAAGGTAGGGACCAAAAGGCACTTCTTGTGATGGAAAAAAAACATTGCAAAGAGTTGGTCACCCAGCAATAGGAATGGAGATTTCCCTTAGTTGATATTTTTGTAAGTGCCCTGGAAAAGAAGGGCAAAGAAAACTCTCAGGTTTATAGTAAATGTTAACATCTTTTGGGTAATAAAATGCTAAGCTTTTGGAAATAAGCTGCAAGCTGTCACGAAGTTCACTCCCTACCACCAAACTGTCAGCCTGCCGAGAAAGAATTTTTTAAAAAGTGAGTAAATCCACAATGGGTACTAGAGGTTTAGCTGTGTATGTATGATTTAAATATAAGTTAAAAAAAAAGGCAACATTACACAGCAATAGGAAGGCTCAGGAACCTTGGCATCAATAAAAGCATCAGAGATAAAAAATTTAGATTCCAGTTCTCCTGGACATGAGGTATGCCTAGAAAATTTTGAGTATATTCCCAAGCTTCTGATCTTAGGATCCCTTTGAGAAAAACACTGTGCTTACACCCCACTGGTGTTCATTGGCACAACGTACGTATATTCTGAAAAAGACCCAGTTAACTTGAAAACCATCATTTATTTTATCATCTCTCAAAAGTGTTGCATGATCAAAAAGAATCCTCAGCAGTTGTACAGGTTTCTGTTCAGCTGAGGCTCTTAGATGTTTTAGTTTTGACTTGTCTTAGAGTTTCTGTTTCCAGTGTGTGAAAAATTACTTCAGATGGGCAGCAGAGCTTAAAATTTAGTGGATACTCTCAAGAAAGTTGGCAGTAGTTCACTTTTCCCCCATAGGGAATGTTTTATGTTCTTCAAAAAAAACCATACCCATGAATATCATTCATGATAGTCTCTGACACCAGTTTTGTAATGTTACCTAACAGTTTTCTCAATTTTAAAAATCATTTTTTATAAACTTTCGTAACAGTGTTTGTTAGTAATGATACTTTGTTCGCTAGTAAAACTAATATTTTTCTAGTTTGGAGAATGTGAATCTTGTTGAATACATAATGATAACAATTTATTGCTAATAATTTATTGCTAATTTATTATTTATGCTAATTTGTTATTTTTGCAGCTAAATGTTATTTATAATGTGAAAAATTCAGAGTCTTCTAGGAGACGAAGATCTATCCAAAATCAAGAGGCCTTTGATTTAGATGTTGCTGTAAAAGATAATAAAGATGATATCAATCACTTGAGTTTGAATGTGTGTACAAGGTGGGTATATGTTTAGTACCCCCACCCCTTCTTTTTCCTTAAAAAAAGATTTTAAGATTTAATTATTTATATCTCTAACTTTATCAATATATAAAGAGTTATATTTAACAAAGGTTTAAGTTATGCATTACACTTTATTTTTTTATTGTATGTTTTCCATTACTATTTGTCATCTCATACCCTCTACATTTTAGATTATGGACTAGAAATGTATGAACTGCTAATTGTATTTACAAATTTCTCATTGTGTCCAAAATTACTTACAAGTTTTCTATGTATTTATAACAAATTTGTATAGAAAAATTTAATAAAACTCAGGTCTAATTAATAAAAACTGGAAATTAACCAATCATGTTGAATATACCCAAATTGATATTTCTTGTCGATAGTCATCTTTCTGTTATACTTTTAACTCAAAACTTCATAAGAGCAGGCAAGTTCAAGGAAGAGAATACTTTTTTTTTTTAGACATAATGAAAATATTCCAGTTTAGAAGATTCTCACCTTGGATACTTAGGCACTTGGAGCGTCTGGGAGTACTCAGTAAGGTGAATTTGGTTTGTATCCAAAGCCTCTGAGGATCTTGTTGAGTCGTAAGGAAAAGGGTTCCACCTCAAACCTGCTGACTTTACAGATGCAGGGTCTGTGAAGCTGTCTTCCTCAGCTTTCCTGGTCATTCTACCACAGACACAAGTTTGAAAGTGACTGCTTTAGAGAGTTCTTGAATCGAGAGACAGTACAATGGGGATTGCTGAGCCAGCCGCAGTCAGCAGTTGTACCGCATGGCTTTTCCATCGGTCGTGTTCGGCAGGTGTGGGTTCCCTGCTCTATAAAGCAGGATTTTCTACCAGCCCTGCCTGCTTGGTTTGCCGTGTGAAAGGACCATGGGAACTAACTTCTCAGTGCTATGATCCTTTCACATTGAAGTCAGACTCCTTCCCATCACCACGCTGGGATCCTCCTGCTCCAAACAGAAAGCTCTTGCCAGCTATTCATTTTAGAAAAATATTTATTTTAAAGGAGACAAAATGTTGTTGGTGCCCAGGTGCTTTGATATTCACATTGTATACAACAGGGTGAGAGAACGATGCAGTGTGATAAAATTTTCCGAGCCTTGTCATTGTCTCAGGGTGGCCAAAGAAAACACCAAATGTGCTCCAAGTATGTGGGAGAACAAAGGGAAGGACTCTCCCTCTTTTTCTAAAGCCAGATGAAGAAAAGGTTGCTAAAGACTTGGCCGTGGTCTACTGCTAAGTGGTCAAGTGATGCCTCTGTTTCAGTTCCTGGCTTTCAGCTGGAACCTTTGGGGCTGTCAGCTTTTGAGAAAATGAAAAATGCAGTTGAGTTTGGAATCACCACAAGAAAACAGTTGCCTGCTGAAAGGGTGCCTAGGTTGTACTTGTCACAACCCACAGGCACAAGCCCGCTCCATGGCAGGCATTGCTTACTGTCCTTAAGGTGAACACACTGTAATATCATTAGTCCTCATATTCTTGAGAGTGGTAGGAATTTCACACCTGGAAGGAAAGGATTACCTGTTTTACAATTTTCTATACAGACTTTTTACGTATTTTAATGAAATGGTAATGTTTGGAATAACACTTGGCAGTTGTAATTTTTCTGTGAAGATAATTTGCCAGCAGATTTCGGTTTTGCTTCCATCCTGTCCTTTTGATTTAGGTTTTTGGGCCCAGAGAGAAGCGGCATGGCCCTCATGGAAGTTAACCTCCTCAGCGGCTTTACTGTGCCCTCGGATGCAATTCCCCTGGGTACGACGGTGAAGAAAGTGGAGCATGACCGTGGGAAACTCAGCCTGTACTTAGATTCTGTAAGTAGTAAACCGAAGCTTCACGCAGGTGGCCGTTGACAAAGCTACCATTTATTGTGTTCAAAGTCTCCCTTACTTTACGTTACTTTACGCATGTTTTCTTTAAGTTGCTATTTCAGCTCTTTATGTCCCTGAATGACTTTAACATGACAACCATATATTTGTGCTCATGAAAAAGACATCATTCTAAAATTAGTTTAAAAAGAATAACTATTAATGATGACCCCAATGAAAGTCTTGGTAACCAAATTATTATTTTATGCCAGATATAAAATATATAGAAACTGCCATATTGGAATTTCAAAAATTAAGTTCAGCTCTCAGTTTGAGAGCCCCTCCCCGCCACAGGGACTTGCTCAACATATTTGTTTAGATGCTGATGATGAAGGCTTTAATTACATTTTAAAAAATGCTTTTATGAAGCTTTTAATAAATCCCAAAGGGGTCACTATTCCTGCATTGGAGTTAGTTTCTTAAATCAGAGAAGAATATTCTCAGAGGTTTGGTCTTTATACATAATTATTATGTAATTTTCATACATACTTTCTGTTGCTATATGAAAATTACTGACCCAAAAATAAGGTGCATAAAATATGTGAGAATAATGCAAGTAAAGAATTCAAGACTCACTTTACCTCAAAACTGCTGGGTTATAAGTTTATTTTTTTCTTTTAACATCTATATGAAATTAATAGGTTGAATTGAAATTGAGTTCTAAGTGTTCTTAGGATTTCATGTTACATGAGGGGAATATGTATGTTTTGTGTTCCAGTTTTGCAAAGTATGAAACAGAAATATTGCTTTAGCAATATATGTATTTATAGAAAGCTAGTTTCTGAATGTTCTCAGCGTTTTAAGTCTTCAAAAATTAAAGGTTTTAACTCTGGTTAAAAACCTGTTAAAATTAACTCAGGATCTCTTGAATTCTTTTGCTGGTCAAGTAGTTTTCATAGATTAAATACTACTTGAGAGCCACAGGCCTGATTTGGAACTTGAAAAACAAATTTAAGGTTTTTATTTAGTAATGTAATTGGTTTTGGAATTTGTCCTTTACCTGTGATGTTCTAGTTAACAGTTATCTTAATCTGAGCATCCATTTTGTTTTTGACAGATTTATTTGAATTTTCGTTTACTGCTAGTTGATGCATGATGGAATGTTTGAAGGAATTTATCAATTTCAGGTTCCTTAAGCAGCCTTGTTTGCCAAATCGGCATAATCTGCTTCTCCTGGGGGCAAGGAGGCTGGCCTTTGGTACTTCATATCAGTCAATTATTGTTTGTGGGGTGCACCTGTCCACCCTGGGGTTCCCTCACTTACTGGGAGAAGCGGCTTCTGTGAGCTGAGGGCTATTGTACGGTGGTGAGTGCCCTGCCCAAGGCAGGGGATCTGGGTGAGGCACTAGGCCCAGGCGCATGCATCCGTGGGCTTGTTGCTTACTTGACCACTCAGGATCTGTCCCTTCCAGTAAAATGAGGTACGAACAATACCTATCCTAAAGGGTAGTTTTAAGAGTTAAATGAGATAATTTATATGAAATGCTTACCACAGGATGGTGGCATGTAGAAGCTCTACCTAAGTGTTAGTTTCTGTATTTTTCCTAAAATGTTAAGAAAAAGAAATATCTTTTAGTTTTTCATGAACACATAGTCTGCCACTTCCTTAAAAGTTTTTTGTATTTTTCAAGGTAAATGAAACCCAGTTTTGTGTTGATATTCCTGCTGTGAGAAACTTTAAAGTTTTGAATACACAAGATGCTTCTGTGTCCATAGTGGATTACTATGAACCAAGTAAGTGTATTTTGAAGTTTCTATTGCATTAGGAGTTTAGCCAGGCATTCATCCATTCATCATTCATTCATTCACTCACTCACTCACTGATTCATTCATTTATTCAAAGTGGTGACCAACTGGATTGGTTTCGCATTGGGGGGTCTATTGTTGGGGGAAGTGTAGGAGGAAGGGGAGCAGGAGGTAAGCTTTCCATTTAAATGGAGACAACTGATCATTTACAAAGGTCGCATGATAGCATTTAGCATAGGGTATTAAAGAGTGATGCCTTTGCTCATAATGTTTTAGGTTTTTAACACACAATTCCAAAATTTACAAAGAAAAATTGACATAGAGAGTCCAGTATGTTTAGTTTCCAAGGTTTTTGGCCCTATTCCAAGCACCCGCTCTGCCTGGGTTTTGTTTTAAACCGAGAGTTCTTCAGGACAGAACATGAACATCATCTTCTCTAAATTTACTGGTAACTTCTTGCTTTGTGAAATGTTAGAAGTGTAGGATGTGAAAGTAGAGATCTGGTTTGGAGATCACCTAATTAATGAGGACGAATCTGCATTCAGTCACAGTGACTTTTTCTGGCTATGTGACCTCCAGGCTGATATTCCTACTTGTAATGAGACTTGTCCTGACAAAACATTCCTGGTAGCTTAGAATCATCAGAATGCATGAGAATCATGAACTTTCTTGTGTGTGTTAGGTAGTTGTAGACAATTACACTTTAAAATAGAATGTTGACATTTTTAGTAGTTTCTGACCGAGTATTCATTTAAAATTAAGGTATAGCAGCAGTTCCCTCTCCCTCTAAATCAAAAAGCCAGTTTCTCTTCTCTTTTGTCTCCTATTGGAATTTGGAAGAGCATTCAGCCTGGTTCCTGTGGAACATTTCGGGGAAAACACTGATGATATATATATATTTTTTCCTGGTGTAAGGATGGGATGTGCTGTGGAGACTCAAGGAGAGAACCTAGTTATTCAATTTTATTATTTAACCTAGCTGCAAAATTCCCCAGTTGATGTTTCTTAGGTATATGGAGAACATTTTAAATGTTTAAGTAACAAAAAAGGTTCAGTGTATGTAAATTTTTGTGTGGAAAACAACTTATTTATGAGAGGCACATTTTAAAATGAACATTTGAGGAAGATCAGAATAATAAAAACCTAGCAACCCATTTTTGAAAACCTGAAAGTTAGAAAACATATTTATAACATTAAAACATTGAAAAATCATGAAGAAATTTGAATATAGAATTTTTTAAAAATTGTAAAAATTAAAATCACTTGTTTTATAGTGAGTTTATTACAGTGTTATAAGCAGTTTATATAGTTTTTTCATATTGGCTTATCCAATACAATTTACCAAAGCTAAATAGTCTTTAGAAATTATATGCTCAATTTTTTTTATTCTGTAAAATTTATTTATAGTTAATAATACATGCTCAATATTCTGAAGCAGCAATTTTCATCCTTTTTCATCTCATGGCACATATAAACTAATTACTAAAATTCTGCAGCACACCAAAAATATTTTTTTGCCTATCTGACCAAAAAAAAAATAGGGATAATTCATTTCATTCACATTGGATGGATAGTGTTGTGTTGGCTGTTGTCATTTTTTTTTAAATTTGACCATCTAAGAGAAAAGTGGTCAGTGCCCCTGACTAGTCGGGTATTGCATGCTTTAAAAATTCTTGTGGCACAACAGTTGAAAATCACTATTTTAAAGCATTGAAACAATGCATTGCCTAAACAGTTTTCTTTATAGTTTTGTATTTTTAAATAAAGGCCATGGTAAATATCTTTTTTTCTTTTTTTACAGAAATTAATTTATTTTTCAATTACAGTTAGCATATTTCTTTTCAGCAATTCTAATGATCAGAAGTTTACTTGAATGCATAGAAAATGTCACCCTAAAACAAACCTTTGAGGAGGTGAAACAACCCTCAATTTAAAATCTGTCCTGTTCCACACTCTCGCTGCGCTTGCCATCGAAGCGTGCAGCTGCAGTCTATTTTCCCTCTTTCAGTGCCGGCCAACTGCTGGTGGTAGATAGATTGGACTGAAAGCATTGTTTCTCTCTTGGATTTGGTTAGCAGTTGGGGCCCCTCTGGAGTGTTTCAGTTGTTTCTTGTAAAGAAAAATAAAATTATATGGAGAATGGAAAACTCAGAAAAGTGTATTGAAATGCTTTTAAGTTTTGGCAAAGTAAATGTTTCTAAACAAGGGAGATATGTAAACTGATGTCCATCTCTGAACAGGGAGACAAGCAGTGAGAAGTTACAACTCTGAAGCTCAGCTGTCCTCTTGTGACCTCTGTGGAGACTCCCATGGCTGCAGTCGTTGCGAGAATAGAGCGTCCGGCTCCCTTCGTCACTCTTCAGTCATTTTTGTTTTCTGTTTCATGCTTCTGTTCTCTTTGCAACATTGGCTGTGATTCAGTTTTTAAGGACTTTCTGTAACACATTTCCAGAAGTCATGTGTGATTGCCTTTTTTTCTGTAATCAAGTATTGCTTCTATTTTGAAAAACAATTTTTTTTCTTTTTATGAGGTTGAAGGGGTGGTGTACAACAGGTCCTAGTATGTAGAGCTGCATAGATTTCTTCCCCTGACTTCTATGTGGAACAAAATTCAGAATTATTGCAATTGTATATCTTTATTTTTCCTCTTAAAATATTTTAGGATTTTTTGGGAAGTGTTGTTTTCTCCAGAATAAATGTGTTACTTTAGATCTGTTATTCTTTTCATTTTCCAGAAGAACTGAGGTTCCAAAGCATTATTAAACATCATTCTTCCATTAGTATTGGTAACCTAAAAATAAAAGGCCAGAGCAAGAGCATCAGCATTTATTTGAGATCAAAAAGAATAGTTATTTGGGAAGCACTAATTCAGGCAAAAGCCCAAATAGTGTTTGGATTAGGAGACAGAGACAAGGGATATTTATGAGAAAGGGAAGGAAAACAATGACGTCACTAGAAGAAAGGCACTTCTATTGGTGCCCATAAGCTAACAGAGTGATGTTAGTTCTAAACAATGTTTTTAATTTTCAGTCCGGTAGCCATTAGTCTGCTAGTCATAAGAGCTGCTTTCTTGTTACCCTTGCAGACCCAGAGTTGCTTTAGGCCCAGTCTGAAGGTTGTTTTGCCTTGTTTTAGCATTCCAAAGGTTTGAGGCATCACACTTGCAAGGCAGTTCTAGGGATGGCAGCTCAGACTCCATTTTAAAGTATTATAGGTGGATTTCTTAGGACCTGGGAGAAAGAAACCAGAAGGAGGAGCTTGCTCCGTTCCCCTCCCACATCTACCTTAACCTTACTTTCCAGGATGTCACATCCCTCTTTTTAGAATGTGGGTGGTGAGTTTTCTGTTTTTGGTGTTTTTTTTAAAAGCAAAATGGTGTTGTTCCATTTCACATGTAATCACATACCACATACCTTTATTTTTCCTCTATTTTTCTTCTGGAGAGAAGAACGAGAGAGGGAACGTGTTTTCCCGTGCTTTGCGGGTTGGGTCGGAGCTTGAGGCATGTACAGAAAACCGCTGGAAGGGACGCCAGGCGCGCTGCTCCCCTCACTTGCACAGCCCCACACTCAGGCTCCGTTCCAGGGGGAGTGTTGGAGTGCTTGTGGTCCATGCTTTATGTGACTCAGTCTAGAAGATCTAGACCAGGAGGCACAAAGCTTTGCTAGTAATGGCGACGATAAGCCAGGTGGATGACAAAATCCTGTATAAGACACAGCACACTGACCTCTCTGGTCTGAGAAAGAAGCTGAAGTTGGACAGGGACCAGAGAGTCTTGATGTGATGGCCGACTGCCCCACCGTAGGGCATTCCCCAGGGTCCCGAGAAGCTCTTCTGGGCTCGGGTGTCTGAGCGGCAGGCTGTCAGCTGTGCAGTGACATCTAATGCTTGCTGCGAATCTTGAAGAAGGCCCTGAATTTTGAGCACCTGGATCATTGGTTACCCTGTATTCTGAAGGATAATATTCATTTATCTGGATGAAAATTTTAAAGAAAAATTCCTTTCTTTTTCCTTTTTTCCCTTTCCTCTATTCTCTCTTCCCTCTCTCTTACTTCCCTTCTTCCTTTCTACTACTTCCCCTTCTAAATAGATTAAAATATATTAGAAATATAAAAAACAAATTAAAGATCTTTTACTAAATCTAAGAATACTTTAATTTTACTCTTTTACTCCATGGCATCTCTCTCAAATGTACATGGGAAAAATAATTGCTGTGGGCTCCAAAGAGCCTACATTACAATATTTTCAACTGTTTTAAAAATAAATCTATCAAAAAGTAGGCAAATATACCTTTTAAAAACAATTTTATTTTTAGTGATTTTAAGAAATTATAGTGGAGTGGATGTTCATGTATTGCTTATGGATATTTTGGGTACCAAAGTAGAAATCACCAGCATTCAGTATTTCAAAGCTTGAAACTGCTGTGTGGAAAAAAGATTCTCACAGAGTGGTCTATGGAGAGAAAGATAATTTTCTTGTGTGTTTTTTCAAGTGGAGAAAAGTTCTGTCACACCTTCAAACCACTCTGATCTAAAATAAGCACTCGTTCTGTTTGAGCCTTCTGTATGGTGTTCTCTGCCTTCACACTCCAGGACTTTCTGTGAAATGCAAGTATCTAATAATGAAGCTGGTATATGTGTGTGCGTGTATTGGCGGGGGGGCGGGGGCGGTGTTCACAAAGCGCCCCCTCACCTGCCCTGCCTGGGGAACCTCATGCTGACCATCAGTACCTTATATCCTTTGGTAATTCATACTGAACTTTTACTGTGGTATACTAGGAAATAGTAGAACGGAATCTTTTTTAGACCGTATTTTCTCATTTAGAAACCAAGACTCATCACTTTTTTGTGAAGTACTGCAGATTTTCAGGTGAAAAAGTCATCTTGTAACTCCTCTCTTTTCACTATAAATTTATTTAAAAAGGTGGAAGGGGAAAAAGAGGAGAAAGGATGAGTCAGCTCTGCATCGTGGTGCATGGGGCTGGGACAGAGAGGCCTTGTCCTCTTCCTCCTTCATGTCTTTGAGAACTTGCCTGCTACACATCATGGGTTGGGATGAAAAGTGACCAAGAAGTCACAAAAATAGGAGAAAAAGAGCGCATGTAGTAGTAAAAATGGATGGTATAGATTATTCCCATGCTATGAATAATAACTTTAGAAACTAATTTTACCTGTAAGTTTGCTTATGCTGGAATGCTTCCATTTAGAATACCATCAGTTTCATTTATTGATAGGGACTAATTTAAAGACTCTCCTTTTCCCTCCACTGACTGGGGACCTTATTAAGACACCAGCATACACCACTTCATTTTGACTGGACAACTGTTCCAGAGACTGAATGTTGGGAAAAGTAGAAGCTAAACAATTCGAGAACAGAACAACGCTTCTGTATTTGGTTTTACCATCTTACTACTTTCAGAAACAATTCTGAAAAAGAGTTAAAGCTTATTAAATTATTCCAGGTCAATGAAATGTTTCCTTTTATTGCCCTATTATACTTTATTGTTTTCCATATGTTCTAACAATAATATCTTTGGTTTAGTATTTTGATTACAGTAAAATCTGAGGAGCATTGTGCTAATATAAAATCCAGATATACAGCTATACTATTACCTAACAGTTTGTCACTTATATATGCAATACCATATCCTACATGTGGAAATTTTTAGAATTGTAGATAGCATAATTCTCCTGCCTCCCATTCTTTTGAGCCTGGGTATAGTTATTATTTAAAGTTATATTTAACCTTAATTTCTGTTTGTGTTAAATATAGTTATAAATAGTCTGGCAATATAACACCAATTATCTTTATTTTGATATAATTCATTTATTTCATTAAACATTTTCTGGCTCTCCTATGACATTTTTTAAAAATTGGAGCTATGATTTTTCTTTGTCACTTTTAAAAGAAGCCATCTTATTAGCCTGTTGGCATATAATCTGGGATTATTTGTAACAGCCTTACAAATAAAATCATAGCTCCAATTTTTTATAATTTGATTTATTGAAGTTTAAACATAGTTTAAAACTATGTTGTAAATATCTCCTTGACAAGGTTTCTTAACATAGGGACAATACATATTTTTAGTGTGCCAAGTGGCTCCAATAGGTCCGGGTGCCATTATGCATTTATTTTTGGGTGCATCATTTTTCTCACACACTGTAAATCTGAGACACTTATAGTAAGTGAACTCACTCTTGGTTAAGCTTTAGAATGTTTACACTTTCAATAGAGGCTTCTATTAAACAGAAGAGCATATTCCTCATTATTTTTTGTTTTCAAATTCCATTAAAACATAGCACTTGTAAAACTTAAAATTTTCCTATCTTTTATTCAAATGATATTCATGCTAACATTAAATAAGGTATATTGGGAGTAATTTGAGGTACAATTATTTTTATCACTACATTGAATAGAAGTCCATTATCCTACTTCAGGAAACTGAGTAGTAAATATACATTTTTAATTAAGTATATATCCATGGGAGTAGGGTTGTTTCAAAATTACTTCTAGCCACTGAGTTGTTTTCATGTGCCACACCGAAAGGCCACTAGTGGCACATTGCATCATTCCATAAAGTGCTGCCATTTCGACTTCAACTATTATTTTAACATAAGAAAATAGATATTTCTTAAATGATTTCTGAGTTTCTCATGTAAAAGGCTGCTGACGGGTGTGTGTGTCTGTAATAGGGATGATATTGCTATGTGTAGCTACAAATTTAAGAATAATTCTATCTTGTGATAATTCTGTCTATGTCGTGAGGCCACAATTTACCACTTTTCTGCCCAATGTATTGAATCAGTGGTAAAGTACCATGTTCCATTTGTAGATCTTTGAGATTTGTCTTTGATAGCTTCAGTAAAATACGGCTCTATCCTGGTCCTTCCAGCCTTTATGTTTTGGATTTTTAGTAGGGTGCAGTTGATGTGGTAGAGTCCATTTCTTTTGTACACAGAAAGGTTTATAAAATATTGCCCATAAATCCCCTATTTTGAGAAGCTGTTTTGCATATGAGACAAACATTGTTGAAACATTATTTTCTCAGAAACTAAAGCTTTATATATTGATCAAGGTGATTCTGAAAGTTTAAATTTTAAATATGTTGTTAATTGCACTCTATTATGTTTTCAATAAGAATCATGGTCTATCAATAAAAAAAATTAAAATTCCCATCTTTTTCTTATCAGTGTTCTTTTTATTTTAGTTTAAATCATGTTTATAGCACATCTCTACCTAAAACTGTTTAGTTATGAGAAATGGTTGTCTGAAGGTGGGTTAGAGTAGGCGTTATTGTGTGAAAAGAGTTTGACATGAATGAGGTGAGAGAAACTTGATTACAAACTGCCTTCACTTCGCTCCTCATCTTTGCTTTTGGTATTGGATTGGGGTCTGTGGGAGAGTGGTATATACAAA